CAGCTTTGCATTAAAAATGACAAAATTAACCGACTGACACTTAAGTTATAAACGTTTATATAGACTCCTTCATGTTAACAATAAGTGTTAGCAAAAATTGTCCACTGAATAATTCATCATTGCTTATCAATATTTGTTAATGTTTCCATAAGATGGGAATTTTATGTGGCACCAGAAACTGTCAAACCGTTTGACACACACTTAAATATGCATGCTGATTGGTTATAAATATATGTCATCCAATTATACGCGTCCTCAGGCAGCGCCAAAAAATTTAACATTCTGAGCTCAAGCTTTCAGCAATCTTGCATCAGCTTCTCTTGACGTTGCAAGAGGAATGATTAATGGAAGCAGCGTTGAGGAGGTAGAGAGAGGGGCTGTGGAAGATGTGTTGAGTCAACTAAACCAACTAGATCATTATACTCAGATGTCCAAATGTCTGTGGGCTGGTTAGGGGGAAATGAATAAAAGAGAGCTGCACTGGTCATTTGTTGTCCCAAGTTCAAAGCCACTGACGGAAACAAACAAGTGAGCAGAAAACTAAACAGATCTCAAATCTTTGACCTGGTGTGTGTTTGAGTGGGATTCTTTAAATGTAAACATCTGCCATAAAGCTCTGTGAGAGCACTGTAAATGTTTGCTGTTTCAGTGGCAGCAAGAAGAGCTGTTTATGAGATGTAAAATGATGCTTATGATTCTGTGTGCGTGTGTCTGTGAATCACAGGCGGTTTCTGTGTGTTGTGTGTGAGGGAAGGAAATGCTTAAAGAGACAAAGTGTGTTGAAGTAGGTTACGACTAGCCAAAGTGAAATATGTCCTCTTGTGCATGCTGATGTATATGTGTGGTATGAATCTGTGTGTGTGCGTGTGTGCGTATGGGTGGATGCGTAGACTGCAGCAATTTGTTTTGCTGACAACCGCATCTCTGTGGAATCACAACTAACCTCAAACTCACCTTAGACACACATTCACTCACTCTCTATCACACAACAACACAGTCTCTCTCCCTTTGTTTCCTTTATATCGAACATTCAGAATAATTGATTGTAAATAGTGAGAGGACACCTTTGATCAGCCCTTTTCCTCATTACCATCTGCACTGAGGACACAAGGTTCCTCTATTGTAATTGTATTCTTTTAATTTAATAGAGCAGACACTGATACTCTTGCCCTATATATGTGATATTTACCACACTATACCAATACAATAGGTTCAGGCCAGTTGTTTACACAACAGCAAAAATTTACAGAATTTTAGAAATAAAAACTTCAGCTTGAAACTGAACTGAATATAAAAACAAGCAGATATAATTTTTAAATGTTACTGCAGTATATTAACAGCTAATATATGGAGGTCACAGACCTAGATTACAACAGGATATGAAGCCTAATATGCTTGCATCTCATATAAAATATGGTATTCCTTATAGTTTCTGTAATACAAAAACAGTTCTGTTAAATTATGCACAAATCCTTAATGGTTTCATTGCCAGTAAAACATGCAGAGGCAGTAATATGTCACTAATCTTTTAAAGGTAAATTGGCAGTAAATGTGTAAATAATGAAGTCCACATAGAGCTTGTATTTATAGAGACGTTTTAAACACAGGTTAGAGAAATAGATAGATGCTGTTTGTAATATTATGTTAACGTGTATTTTATACATGTCTTTTTTTTCTATTGAAAATAAATTAGAAGTTAATTAGTCAGCCCTCAGTTGATGCAGTAATCAGCCAGCAGAGAGATTTTTCCTGCTGTGATCATGCTGAGGGATCTGGTTAGCAGACTGCAGATTAGCCCGATGTGATCTGAGTGAACCTGGCCAGGATTAATTTTACTCTGCCGTTCACCTCAGATGCCATTAGGATGTAATTGATAAATAAATTAGTGGACTAAAAATAAATAAATAATCTGTTTTAATCTCATTTTATATCAAAATCATCAGATCTGAAGGTGAAAGTGGTTGACTGCTGATAATGAGCATAATCGGTCATCTTCGCTTGGAAGAAACAAGCAGACCATTTGTTTGCTTTTGAGACATTATCAAAGACAACGTGACAGTCTACTTTAAAAGGGTTTACAGTATCAACGCCAAGGAACGGCAAGCTGAAGGTGTGACTCCTTAAGATGTTATCAAGGTCTTATCTCTGTGTTTGGCTCCCACTGCATTCAGGGCTGTAGGGCAGTAGCTAATCTAATCCAACCTACTTGGACCACTTTTGAAAGCCAAGGCTTTATTTGCCAACAAGTGCTTTTTTGGCACCCAACATAGGGGCAGCATATGCAATCAAACATGGATCTTTATCTAATTATCATGTTTTGAATAAACAACAAGCAGTTATTAACTCCAGACTAAAAGGCAGTTTTTCACTGCTGTTGCACCTGTAATCACACCAAAAGTGATGTCACAGTGTACTGACACACCCTGGAGTACACGGAGTATCACTGCAGCAAGGTGAGAAGTTGAACAACATGGAGGTCAGCAAAAATAAGATTTTCAAACCAAATGTATCTGGTTTCTTGTGTATATATTTTTGTCAGAGTGAGGACCAGTGGATTATTTTTGCCAATTTTTAGAAAAGATAATGTTTGGTAGTGACACAATATTCTTAAAATTTAAAAACAATTGACAAAAGCATATATAGAGACACAATAATAATCGGGACGGATAAATTATCAGCCGATGATGAGAAATTGATATTATTATAAATGATCAGTTGATATTAATAATCATTGGAATTCTTATGCAAAACAATTGATATACTTTATGTTCTTTAAAAGCCAAAGTATGTTTCGTCATTTGTTGTTGTTGAAAAATAGTGATGTTGGTTAGGTTTGGTTAGAACAGAGCCATGAAACATTAAATCATCCATCTTTTCTCACTACATCTCAGGTAATTATCAGTTATCATATCGGCATCATATCATGCATTCCTAATAGAGACGGATTTGTGGTCCTCTGCAATTTGACATTTGTCATTTTCCTAAACCAAAAGTGGCTTTGCAAGATACTTGTGGAGTCAAGCACAGCTTCAACATAATAAGACACAATCAGAACCTCTGGAAAACCACTTTTCCTTACATCAGGGGACTATACTCAGTCCTATCTGCCCTTCATGGTGTCCTCGGCAGGGAAGGAATGCCCAGAAGGCCCCTGTAAAGGGTGTCATGCGTGGTCCTTTAGGGCTCAACTGACGCTGATAGAAATGTTATCTCTGCTGCTTAGGGAGCTCCAGGATGGCAGCAAAACCCCAAAGGCCGCAACAAGGATTTTAAATCAAGTCTTCAGGGGTAAAATGGTGTAAGGTCAGATATGATCTTTGCTACTTAGGGCACATGGCGATTATGTAATGTCCTTGAGGATCCTATCAGGGATCTATTGTTAGGGATGCAGCCACCCAGTGTGGCCCCTTAGGGTACAACTCCGCAGGAGAGCGTGCTGTCAGATGCTATCGTGCTTTAAAGGGTCAGTCGCTGCTGTAGGGAGCCTGCAGGGTGTGTTCTCTGTGTTGAGTAACAGGAGAACAATCTGCAGGAGAGTTTCGGATGACAAAAGATCAGAAACTTAGTCTGGATATTTTTTTATTGACTTTGATTGAACTATTTGTCAGATGTTGGAGCAAGATGGGCAAAATAGTGGTTGGCCTTACGTCAGAAGCTAATTTAAATTTATCCAAGTACTTTTTAATATTTTGACTACTGTTGGTTTATTGTTTGATTTCAACAACACTAGTGCCTCTCTTTCTCTTTCTGTCTGGTTCTTCATCACATACACATTCACGATCAAGGTTACAGTGTCAGAAGGGCAGTGTGAGATGCTAAAGTCAGTAAGAAAGGAGAGAAGATTAAAGAGCAAAGAAAGACTGGAGAATGGCAGAGAAAGGACAATTTGAGAAAAACATGAACAAAGGGTAGAGATGATATAAACATTTTTGTATAAAGCATGATGGGGTGGAATGAGAGGAAGGGGAAGGGGAATAAGGGTGCTTAGTAGTGGTAAAGATGAGTAAATGGAGAAAAATCAAGGGTAATGAGATCATTTTTGTTTGGATAAAACATTTAATTTAAAATAATTTTAATGGATGAAAAGGACCCTAGAGAAAGAAAGGAGGGCAGAAAAGAAAGTTGGAAAACCGCTAAAGGAAAGAAAGAAGAGTAACAAGAAACAAGGGAAGGATGAGAAGAAAAGATGGAAAAAGAAGAATAAAGATGGAGGGCATAAATGTGTCCTATCTGCCATTAATAATTCAGTGTGTATCGATCAACCTGAGAACTTCTTACTGCATTAGAAGTGTGTGTGTGTGTGTGTGTGTGTGTGTGTGTCTGTCTGTCTGTCTGTCTGTCTGTCTGTCTGTCTGTCTGTCTGTCTGTCTGTCTGTCTGTCTGTCTGTCTGTCTGTCTGTGTCTGTGTGTGTGTGTTTAAGAGCCAACATACATCCACACAAAAAGCTTGCATAACGTCAGCTGCTGTTTTTCTAATGAGATGAGTTTGACTATTTAAGTCACACACACACACACACACACACACACACACACACACACACACAGTATATATGAGAAGTACCAATGCACTTGTGGCATAATGTGAATGACCTTGTATTGTGTGTGTCTTTAGCAGAACTCTCTAGCCTAAATAACAATCTGGCCGCCCAGAGTCGCGCTGGTGACTGAAACTTTGTGTATTTTTGAGTGTTTTTCGTGTTTGTGTGGTGCATTTCTTGAGATTGTCATTTGGACCCAACTGCAGTGAGAATATAAACTCATCATGCTGACACTTTACCTAATTCCTTTTAAACACACACTTGATCTCTGTCTCTCTAACTAACTAGATCAATATTCATGTTTCAATTATTATTGTCATACTTCTTCCCTGTTTTTACTCCTGCTGCCCAACATCCACACCCTCCAAGGTCATTTCATGTCAGAATGGGAAGGGAGTCGAGGAGTACGTGATGTTCTAACCATGCTGTCCTTTTCTCCTTTCTCCCTCTCTCTGTCTACAGCTCCCACCTCTCCCCTATATCCATCCTGCCTGCTGACTCTGCTGAGTAAGTACACACACAGACACACACCAGACATTTTATCCACTCACAACAACATACATAGGCACTTCTTTATGTACACGCACCTAATATTCAAGCTACACTAAGAAACTATAGTCTATACTAATTAAATAATTGGAAAGAAATGTTAAAGTAAGCAGTTATTATGTTATTAAGGGAATGATCGAACAACTGCAGACAAGGGTTGAGAGAGAGACAACCAGGTTAGCTGAAGTGTGAAGAGGGAGCAAAGAGCCATCTGCTCGAGAGGCAGAGACAATAACAGGAATCATAGTGCAGGCAGTACTGAGAAGAGTTGAGTTGGGAGAAAGGTAAGGGGTTAAGAGGAAGTGATAAGGAGTAAGGAGGAAAGCTGCCCTTGTGTTTTGATTATGAAGCTAAACCAAAGCATTTTGCATGGCTTGCTGCTTTTAGAGCCCCAAGGACAAGCAATCACATGACTGTCTCTGCACCACTGTGTGACATGGAAACCGAATAAAATAGTTTTCTATGGTGCTGTACATTATTATTATTGTGAGTTTGCTGACCTGAGGATTTCTTTAACAACAAAAAAGAACTAGATGGCAGCGAATTGTCCAAAACTGTCATTTTCAATTTGACCATTTGCATTTGTTGACATCAACATGTTATCAGTTAATCTGTGGAGTATTTTCTTAATTATTTGATACATAATCATATCTATAAAATGTCAATAGTGAAAAATGCTTGTTTTATCTGACCAACACTCCCAATCCCAAACATATTCAGTGTACTGTAACACAAGCCAAAGAAAAGAAGCAAATCCTCACAATTTAAACTAAACTCTAAACTCATAACTGTGACACTGACCTCAACACATAACAGCATGATGCAGAGCAAATGTGTTTCTGACTGGTGCTTTCAACTCCAGTGATGTGGTGTGTGCAGTAAATGCAGTAAAGTTGGCTAAACTCTGTTTAAAGAGACGTGTAAAAGCATCTATACATCTCCTCGTTGATTAGAACGGTTGTCAAAAAGAGCGAACAAGAAAGGAACACACATAAACAGGGTGCAAACAGGCACTCACGCAAAATATAAGTTTAAATTGTCTTGGCAACGTATCTTATAGCTCACACCATATTAGGCTATTTAATATGCTATTTATGAGTATATGTAATTATTTATTGGGCATATTTCCCAGCAGACATTTGGCCGTTGACGTTTTCATCTGCCAGACAACACTTGATACTGGCCAAATGCCGGGTAACGTAAACCCTGCCATCAGCATAGCTTCTCCTCTGTTAGAACGTACGGGAGGATTTAGACAAAATTTATATGACAGCAGCAAAACACACGTTGGCACCTCTTGACTGTGTGTGTGTGTGTGTGTGTCAGTCAGAAAGAATGCAATGCACATCATCTTTCAGTGCTTATGTGTTAGGTAACTGTGTTTGTGTGTGATAGATAGTTATTTGTAGCGCTTCCTGCAACGAGAGCTTGAGTTGCTGCTGCAGGCGAAGGTGTGCTTGCAGTCAAGGACAAACACACACACACACACACATTTATTCGACCTCGGGTCCAACACCTTTATGAGTTTTACCTTAAATGGCCGTGGATGTGAAGCCTGAACGCAGTTATGTTCCAGCTCCAAGTCTTTCATTCAAGACCATGTAACTTTGTTAGTGTAAAAATGTTGTATACACCAAACACCCCCAGTATGATGTTATAAAGGAAGAATTATGATCTATCAGGAGCAGCAGTTGGTGTGGAGGTGAAGAGAGCTGGAGTTTTCTGCCATGTCTTTAACATCTACTGCTGTCTAAGCTGGAGGAGAAACAAAGCTTAACAGCCTGCTAGAAGCCAGAGTAAACAAGGAAAGGATACAGGGATAATCACACGTGGTCAAGCAAGTTAAATAAAGTCTGAATAGAGCCTGTGGATCAACCCTCTCATGTCAGTGTAGAAGAGGTCAGACTGTGACTGTTGTTACCTTTTATAGGCCGTAACGTCCTCTCCTCCTCTCTCTTCCGAGGCTCTAGTTTAAGCATTAGTAATCCTTTCAGATCTGAACCAGGTTATTGATTTAATAAGGACTTGTTAAATAGCCCAGAAGGGAAAATAAACCTTTTCAGAGATTATTAGGCTCTCAGAAAATGTCTCTTACTATGTACCCTAATTGCCAGGTGCCAGGTTCTCGTATGTGATATGGAGGTAAACACATTAGTTTGTCACTCAAAGCTCCAGTCTTTTGTCTGTTAATTGATTATCTGAGCTCTTCCTATTCATTAAAAGAGGCTGATGACAGGTAGGATTATGTGAGGAGGCTTACACGTGGTTCCAGAGATGTGGGTTTTAACCTGCGCATCTTTACTGGGCCCTGATAAACCTTATTCTGAACACAAAGGTCTTAATTAAATGGATGAACGATGCACTAAGCTTATTGGATTCAGTGTAACTGAACAAAAGAGAACATAAATTACTCTCATCAAATAATTGAACACAGTGGAGGGCATTACACATCATTGAACCCTATTTGTAGAACACAGGATAGTAGCTATATTGAACAGTTAATTAACTGTTAAAACATTACAAATTTTGATCTGATCAGTGTGAGAAAATTGGATTGTTACTAAATATTAAATATAATATAGTATCTTTTATAGGGACTTCCGATCAGTCCCGGTCCAATACTTGCCTAGATAATACAGTTGCACAGTGCACACTTCAACTACATTAAAGTTATTCAAATCAATCCAATGTACATGCTTGACAAATCGATAAGCTCTGCATCGTATTAAGAAAAAATCTGGTAATATGGTCAGTAGTTAAGTAAACCCTGGCTTTGGTCCTGAGTAGACACAATTACTGGTAAACTGAGCTGTTACAGTTTTACCCTTGAACTCAACTCATTTATACAGTAACATGGGTTTTAAACACAGACTGCAGTAATGCAATAACTAACTGCCTTGCCAAAGTTCAAATGTGTGACAGCCTCAGAAACCGTGTGAAGCTCAGTGGCCAACATGGTCACCCTAATAAGTTAAATACTGAATTTAATTGTAATTTAATTAAATGCCCTATTTTGATCAAAGTCAATGCATCATCACACACAGTAACACAATGTGAATACACATAGAAATCTTGATGAATTAAGTTGATGTATTTTGTGTGTTTTCTCAGGATAATTCAGCGAACCATCAGGGCTGCAGTGGAGCAGCACTTCTTTGAGCTGAAAACCTCCATTGATCAAGACCTCAGCAACTATGACAGCCAAGGGTGAGAGTGCATACACACACATTACTATTCACACACATGCAGACATGAAAACCAAATACACTTGTATCAAGAATAAGGAAACACACACACTGAAGGTCCGTACTGTTGTGTTCTGCATTTATCCTCCATGCACCTGCTGGTAGAAACATGCATTACACAGATTCCTCAGTGGTTGAAAGTGGCATCAGATTACTTTAAAGTAACATATTTGTCATAGAGAACATTGTGTACAAAGGCATGAAGCCAGCCAGATGGTTCAGTTTACCAGTAAACATGTTGACAGCTGTGATGTTAATTAGCAAACCCTGCATGTTGAGGGGAACAGCTGTTCAATAGTCAGTCACCTCTAAGACAAAACAAGAGGTCCAGGAGTTTTACACTGCATACTCAAATAGGGTTTATTTAACACGCACATAAAGGCACGATGGCATTTCAGTAGTTTAACTTTGTAAATACAAATGATTCTACTCGTTTTGTTCAAAGTTTCATTATTTTATTTATTTTCATTTTTGTTGTCCAGGGTGAATCCCAGTGAGCCTGCAGACCAGGGTTGCCATGGAGATGAGCAACAAACGGACCCTGAGGACAGTCCCTGCGATACAGAAGGGGAGACCCCACTCACACAGCCCGAGCAGCACATACAACAAAGCCAGAAAGACACACAGGTCTGTTGGAGACACAGAAACACACACCCGCACAAACTCAAACACACATCATCACCATATAAGACATCAAACTCACACACATCATTCATGTTTCTCACACACACTAAATGTGAATCAAAACGCACACATACAATACACAGACTTTGACCAGTTGCTGTGTGGGTTAGCAGCATATTTCCCGTAGCTAACCTCCTTCCTGTCCCTGTCTGTCGGTTCATTCCACGGCTAAATGTTTGATATTATCAGCACAGTCCATCTTTGTTCTGCTCTGATTGCGACAATAGCTGGAATTCTACCAGGGAAGCAAACAGAGACAACAACAACAGACCTGTTTTACAAATATACACAGATCAATGAATACACTGATACATACAGGCAGGGTTTTGTTCCTACTAACTGAAAGTCATGAGGGAATGACATAAGGCAGAAATGTACTTGTAAAGAAGTGCTGCTCAGTGTGAAAGCAGTGAAAAACTTCTTTGTGAGGTTTAACGAGAGAGGGTCTGCATCATCATCATTTTTTTAACTTTCCGAAATCAACAATCCTATCCACTATTTGCTCTTACTGTATGCCAGGGGTACATAGTAGCACAGAAATTTGCATCATATTTTCAACACATACAGAAAATGTGTCTAAATTGTGCCACCTGTACATTGTCTTTAAACTTAGTAATTTAAAAAGTACAAATGCTTTTCTTAATTTCTTAGATTTGCCATTAGAGAGAAGTTTTTGGTGCTTAATTAATGTGTGGATAATTAAGCCAGTCATTTACGGTTTTAGAAAGCTATGTCACGGTGGAAATACCCCTTCAGTGGTGCTTCCCCCATCGAACCTCAGTGGCTCTTGTCCCAAGAACCATTTTAGTGTCCAGACAGCAGGAGAAAATTGAGGAGCAGACAACATGGCAGACAGAGTGAGACGTGTTCCAGGACTAGTGAGAAATCTGTCACCTCTTTAAAAAGTAATTTGGGAACAATTCTTTAAATAGATCAGCCTAGAGCCAAAGAATGACAGCAACACCTGTGCACCTAACCAAAACAACACACACACACACACACACACACACACACACACACACACACACACACACACATACCATTTTCTTTCTTTATATAACAGTTGTAATAACTGTGTGACATATTTGTAGTAGTTAATTTGTGTACAGAAACTTTTAAACCTACTGTGTGGAAGTCTACAACCATGATTCAACAATAATGTAGTATTAGTCAGAATAATTGCAATGAAACCTACCAGTTTGGGGTACAGAGATCTTAACGTTTAACGTTTGCGATTGTAAAAGCCCCTTCGCCTTGACTTTGGACATATTTTTAGATTGGAGGTTTGCACTGTAAAGAGTAAGAGAGAAAAGACAGATAATCATAAGATTATCTTGTGATCTATATTTCAAATGTCAAAAAAATGACCATGTTGTTTCCTTACATGATAGATGTAGGTGTAATCTGCAGTGGTAATGTAGGGGATTTCTACCATTCAAGACAAAACACGAAACTATTGTGTTTCCAAATACTCAAACGAAGTGAAACATCATGGTGTGTGGCCTTTCTAAGAGCAGGAATGTGCCTGTTTCTTTCTATTCTTGCTAACATTGTTGCTGTTGCTCTCTACCAGGATTCATTGGACTCTGTGACCACCCTGGAGGAGAGCTCGGGAATGGACCTGGATGCAGAGGCTGTCAGAGATGCTGAGAACAACATCAACACTGCCAGGTGGGCTGGGTCGATGTCCGTTTGCTTTCAAGCCTTTATTGAATTCAGTTTCATCTTTATATCAAGAAAATATTAGTTAGTTATTAGAGTGATATTTTAGCCTAATGGATTAAGTATGAAGACCAGAGTTAAGAGGTCAAAGAAGATTTAGGCCATTATAGGCTTAATTTGAACAAGGCAGACAGATGAGTGTGCTGTATGTAGCATAGTGAATGTCAGGGATGTGGAGAGAGGACTTCTTTCTTCCCCAGAGAGAGGTATGTTGTCTTGCACTGATCACTTGACACCTCACGTTTACAAATCCTTTCGACATGCCGTCTCAGCCTGAGCTCATTTTTATGCTGCATCTGAAACAGACCTTCATTATCTCTCTCCCTCTCACACTTAACTTAGACAGCATGCTTGTGTAGATTTACAGCTCCTACGTCATACTGTGTCACACTTCCACGTTCTGATAACGTAGCGTGGTTGATGTGGAATGTAGTGTTTAATTGTAAAATGTTACAGCTGCACTTAAATACTGTTTCACACATTATCAGGAAAAAATGGGTAAAAGATCAAAAGACACAGCACTGATTTTAGGTGTGTCAAATTTGAGATTTCCCAACAGTTGAAGCAGCTGCAGCTTTGTGAGTTTTTCCCACAAGAAATCATTTATGATGTGTAAAGGCGTTTAGTTGAAAAGGGACTTTGTTGTCTGTTGTTCAGATCTGCCACAGACACTAACAAAGACTCCAAATAAGGTGGAAGAATTATGACTCAAATACTTTGGGGTCTCCAATTTATAATTATTAGATTGTTCACGGCAGAAAATAGTAATGATTTTGCTCAAAGCCAAAGATCTCTCAGGTTTGCAGTGGTAGAGACTGATCGCACATGACATTTTTTTTTGCATTTTGTTCTCTTAGCTTTTAATTGTAATTATTTTTTTAAATGTGTTTTCTGTTTCTTCTCTTTGTTTTCAGACAGGACAATCAACCCTGTGACATCATGGAGCAGACTGAGACTGACACCATAAGCTGTGTAAGTAACAATAAGTGAGAATATCTCAAATCAAATTTACATTACAGTATTTGTCTACCTGTACTTTCCTTCATTCTTTCCATCTCTGATTTCTTTCTTTAACCCCCTCTCTCTCTCTTTCTCTCTCTCTGTTCCTCCAGGACTCGGGTTCATGCCACTGTGATCAGAACGCCAACACCAGTCAGACCAACAGGAATCACCTGTCGCCATGCCAACCGAACTCCGGCCACAACCCCCACCTCCAGCTCTTCCCTGACAACCAATGGGAAGGTAGGTACCCACTCATCTCGGCTATCACAGCGTGTTCTCTGTTGGCAGCAAAAATATATATCAAATAAAATGGATTCCAGTTATTTAGAGACTATTCATATAATAAAACTAAATAAATATTTTGCGCGACCTTAACTCAAATTTTGATTTAGATTTACAAAATACGAAATTATGTTTCAGTGAGAGAAGACTTCTTTAACTTAAATATTCTCCCAGCTTGGTAGAATCTGGTTATTCTGCCATATTTGTTTATAAAAGTCCTTTATAGAGTAATGTTGTTGAAATGGTTTTAAAACCTCTTTTCTGTCATTGCATAGAGATTTAATTGTTCTCAGTATATTTAATATAAAAGTGTTTTTCAAAGTTGGCTTGAAGGCCATTTCAAAATCAAATTATTTCAAATGAAATATGAATCCATGCCTGTGTGTCCTACGTATTTTTAAATCAGATGGATTCATCAAACATTTTCTGAGCTGTCACTCTCCTTCCTTTCCCCCATTATCAGTCCCCAAATATCTAGTATGACCGGGAGAAAGATTTGATGTTCAGCATGATTTTGTTGTAATTAAACCCAACACACACACACACACACACACACACACACACACACACACACACACACACACACACACACACACACACGCTACTGAATGAATGTTAGTGAGTGAAGTTATGAATGACTGACCTCAATGCTCCTCTTCTCTACTATCTCTCTCCCTGTCCCTCCTCCTTTTTCTCCCCTTCTTCTTCGTCCTCCTCCTTCCATCCAAACAGCATCACCCCCCTCCCATCTCCACCTCCCTCCCATAGACTTCTCATGTATGCATCTGCAAAAAGAAGGCCATGGTAAGTAGTTAAATCTGTCCACACATCCACCAGTCCACCCATCCGTCCTTTCATCCTTTCTCATTGATTTGTTTTTTATTCTGTTGTGGTTGCTTGTTGGTTTGGACAAAGCACAGGAAGCTTTATTAATATATTCTCACATTTTAAAATGTGCTTTTAGGATACTGATTACAAATAAATCCCTGCATGTGGAACACTCTTCCCCCCATCAGATGTGATAACACAGCTGGTGTCGTCTTTCCTCTTCCCTCCTCCTGCAGGGTCACTGGGCAGATTGATCAGGACACCGTTCCTTTCTTAACACTTGTTTTCCTCCTCACTCTCAGTTTCTTAACCCTGTCTCATTATCTTTCCGGCTCCTCCTTCCCCTTCCCCTCCTTTTTCCCCCCTCGACTCAGCTCGTTAGCATAGTGCTGATAGTCAGGACACCGTTAATCAGGCGAAGAGTGAGTCAGCAGGGTACTGAATAAGAAAATTAATTTGTTGTTGAATGTATCAGCTCAGCGGCCAACTCCCAGGCAGCTTTTGTCTGTATCATATTGACATGTACAGCATTTACCTCACGTGTAATACTCTTGTTAGCCAGGGATTAAATTTATCATTTCTCTCCCTCCTTTCCTGACCTCTGTTAACTTTCTCTGACTCCCTCCTCTCTATTTGTTTCCTCCTCTCTGCAGACCCCGTCCCGGCTTACAAATCCTGGCAGGATGACAACGACAGCGGCGAGGCACAGCTCTCCCCACTGGCCGGTCGCATGGTTCCCCTCCCACCGCTGCCCCTGGAGGAGGAAGGCGAGGAGGACGAGGAGGATGGAGGGCAAGATGCCTCCCCCTCCTCCTCCCGCTCCCACCCTCACCTCCTGGCACGCCGCTTTCTCGACTTTGGAGCGCACAGTGCCCAGCGGTTCCTCCAGCAGGACCCGGACGCCACCTCACCCACTAAAGCACAGAGGTACAATGAGCTGCAGACGGAGCTGCCATTACTACTACACGTAAAGTGTATAAACACACCAACAGTAATTCTTTGGTCCATTAGAGCAGAAGTGTAAGATTATGTTGAATTTCTGGGCAGTTCATTCATACTCGTGTTTCCTCCTCCTTTCACTCCAGGCCGCGGCGAGCATCATTTGGTTCCAAAGAGTCAATGAGAGGAGGAGATTCAGTGACCCACCAACTCACCAAGAAGCTTCAGCACCTGAAGAAGAAAATTAAACAGTTTGAAGAGCAGTTTGAGAAGGAGAGGAACTATAAGGTAAAAATAAAATGTGAAAAGTAAAATAGCTACATCTCGCTCCTCCTCCCTCCGTTGACTCATTCTGTCTCCTATCTTTCTTTCTCTTCCATCTCTCTCTTCTTCATATATAACAAGCCAACATACCATTGGAAATAAAGTTAATACAAGTGATCAACAGCTTGCAGGACAATTTGGTTATTTTACAGTTTTAGAGTTTATGATCTGACGTACCACTAAAACTTTTTAGTGATAAAGAAAAGGCCAAAATATAAATTGTATTTGTTGTAAATAGTGCCATAGCCCATAAGTGACTACAGCTAGCTGATTGGAGAACAGAAACAGCAATGTATGAGGTTTGAAAGAAAACCCCTTTAACAAATGAGTCAGTCTGTTTTATTCTGAAATTACTGACAATAACCATTTTACATAGAATCAAACAGCCATTGAAATGTAGCTGTTAATAAGATTTTTGCTTGATGCCTCGTGCTGAATCAGTCCTGATGACTAAATATTTATACTTTTTAAGACTTTCTTTTCTATATTTATTTCTATGTACAATAAGATAATTAACACACCACCTCTTTCTCTTCCTCTGTCTGCAGCCTTCTCATGGAGACAAGGCAGCTAACCCTAAAGTCCTCAAATGGATGACCGACCTCACCAAGATCCGCAGGCAGATTAAAGGTAGAACCACTCACTCTTTTTCTTGTGAATGTGCATTTGTGTTTGTGTGTGTGTGTGTGTGTGTGTGTGTGTACGTGCGTGTGTGCGCGCGCGCGCGTGTGTGTCGGGGTTAGATGTGTAGTGTTTGTGTGCCATCCTGTTCCATGCTGGACAGCTTGACCCTCTTCACTCCAAACCTTTGACTGTTTTTAACCACATCGCATGTATGCTGGTCTAACACACACACACACACACACACACACACACACACACACACACACAGACACGCACATGGCAGGAGTTAAAGTGGCTCTCACATGCGTGGCTCCCACCCTCCAGTGTGCTGGTGCGTCCTTGTGAACCCACATTCATTACCTCTGCGGTGAATTTGGTAAGGTAAAACGGTGGATAAGACTTGAAGTTAAACACAAACCATTAACAGCAAAGTATTTGGAAATAAAAATATCTATATAATCTACAAAAATATAATATTCTTTATGATCAGAATTCAAATTAGGACTTAAGAAGTTTTTGTCCTTTGTTAAACAATTTTTTTCTTGCCAGTCAGTGAGCCCAAACACAGGTATTAGAATTTAAAACATTAATTAACTGATTAATTAACTGATGACTACTGATTTCTACACTTTGACGTGTCTCTTGTGCATCGTTTCACCATTCTGAACAAACCCCATTACACTCGTCCACCTTCTCTATGTGAGGTGACGGCTCTCCTTTTCGGAGAACGCAGTGGCCGAAACATTTCTCTCTGTTTCAAATCAAAATTGAAAACAACAATAACGCGAGCACCCGCTCTCCACTTTCCTCCCTCCTCCTCCGCCCAACGACCGATTGATTGATTGATTGACCGATCGGCCAACCAGGACGCCAGCACCACCTTTTACCCAGAAGCACGCTGAGGCACCAGGCTTTGCTCCATTCATACAGACGCCACCATGCTCCCTCCTCCTCCCCTTCCTCCTCCTCCTCCTCCTCCTCCTCTATCTGCTCACCTCCCCATCACACACTCACCCCCCCCGCTCCACCCCTACTCAGGCCTGAGCTCTAGAACGTATCACCTCAGTAAGTACCAACCCCTCAGTAAGTAGACAATACATACACTACTGACAGTCACAATGAGGCGGCATTGTGAGAGCATCTTGTTTCTTTGCTTTGGTGTTTTTCCTGTTGAAACCGCATGTTGGGACGAGACGTTTAACCAGAGGATTCACCAGAAAGAGATCATCAGTTTATTACATTTTTTGAAGGGGGGTGTTTATCGAAAAAGAAATGTATGTTTCAGCGTTGACTATAGCGCTGACCAGTTGTCATTGTGACTAAAACTACACTCTAAAACGTCATACTATGGACATTATTCCAACATTATCACATAGGGGAAAGTGCTGCACATAATGAAACATTTTTTTTGCTATGAATCTTTAAATAATATTTTAATTTATAGGAAACAACAGCACAATTTCAGTACAATTGCAAACCGTAGCTATATATGCTTTTGCACAGGGGAAATAAATACACTTGAAATCATCATTGCAGAGTAATGTGATGCTTTATCTAGAGATGTCAGTATGTCTCATTCATAAGTATCAGACTGGCTCAGGAGCTTTACAGTCAGACGCTGGTAGAAAAATGTTCAGGAAATTTTGCTTGCTGTGTTTGGGTTTTGACTGTGTGCGGTGGTGTGGTTTTGTTCGGGGTGTATCTCTTGTCTAAGCATGTTTTTTTTTTTCTCTTCATATTGTGACTGGCTGACTTTAACCACTGCAGCTGTCAGACTCCTGCATGTCTGATCGTACAGTGAAACATGTATGTGCTGTCTGACTGAAGATCTTCTCCCCATTCTCTCTCTCTCTCTGCAACGCTGTTCTTCTCCTGGTTCTTTCTCTTGTACTTCACCCCCTGTACCCCCTCCCCTTTGTTTCTCTGCTTTATATCTTTCCTCATCACTGTATTCCTCCCTCCCCAGATGCCAAACACCGTGCAGAGAGTGAGCTTGGACCCCAGACTCGTCCTCGGAGCAACACCTTACCCAAGAGCTTCGGCTCCACGCTGGACCAAGGCGCTTACAATGCAGCAGTTGAGGTCAAGGGTCAGCGTCCCACCCGCGAGGAGACACTGGAGCTGATCCAGTGCAGGGTCAAAGGGAAGAGGCAGGAGGATGGCTGGCCTGATGACATCAAGGTTAGTGGACATTTGTTTTTTCAGAGCCTGGAATAGGACTCATGTTAAACCCCCTGCACACCCACGCAGGTTTTTTATTGTACTACTGCAACACAAAATACGTAAAACATGTAGACATTACATTGACAATGACGGTGTTTAACAGTTTGACTTGTGTTGCATAAGATGTCACATTGTCAGTTGACAGCTCATTGATGTGCACTGACTGTGGAAGATCACAGCTGAGCAACATAACAAGTGGAACAGTGTGGCCAGAGTGTGTTTAGTTAAAGGTAATATCACTATTACATGATTAACTGTCTCTGTCTCTGTCTCTGTAGAAGATGACCAAGGAGCAGTTGTCCTGTGAGAAGACGGTCCTACAAAAGAACCTGCTGCACTACGAGGGCCTGCATGGCCGACCGGTAAGTTCCCAACATCCTAAATCCTGCCCAGATTTCATTTGTTTTGTGAAGCTGTGTTAAAACCCTCACTTAAACATTCTCTAAACAGTTTCTCTCTCTTTCTCTCTGTCAGGTGACCAGAGAGGAGCGTCTGGTGGTGAAGCCTCTCTACGATCGCTACAGATTGGTCAAACAGATGCTCACCAGAGTCAGCATCACACCTGTCACAGTACGTACACAACATCACATCTGTAACACTATAGTAGCCACATACTCCTGCTGTTATTCTAGAACTACACACACGGCGATGTTGTTGTAGACTGCAGTAGTTTTCACCAGGTGTACCGTGTAAACTTGAAACTGAATATAGACAACACTCAAACAATTTAAGTCTACATAAAGTACTTGCTCACATGCTCTCGTTGTTGCTCTCTTCCCCAGATGTCCCCCTCCAGTAAGAGACGAACTCAGACCCTCCAGCCAATCATTGAGGGGGAAACCGCTCATTTCTGGGAGGAGATCAAAGAGGAGGAGGAGGACGAGCGGAAGGAAAGAGAAGGAGGAGAAAAAGATGAGCGGGAGGAGGAGAGAGATGAGGAGGAGGAAGAAGAAGAGGAGGAGGAGGGAGAGAGCAGCGGTGGGGAGATGCAGAGCTCCGAAGTCATAATGGCCGTTGACCTTGTGACCCCGACCGACAGACCAGTGAGGAGCCAGAACCAACCTGACCAACAGAGCGACTGTCCAATGACAGCCAAGCTGGAGGAGGGGTCGGGGAGGCTGGCGCTGGACCTGCGGCTGTCCAGCTCCAACGCTTCGTCCATGTAAGAACACACACACACATACACACACACACGTACATCCTCGTGGTACACCTGTATCACATATCACTTATTTGCATTCACATTACAATTAAATGAAAATAGTTTCCAACAATCTAATTCTCATGATTATTTCTGACTCATCTTCCTCATTAATAGTTCAATAGATAAACAATCAGTATTTTTTGAAGACTAAAACGTAAACGTTCTCCATCAAACACAAGCTAAATGTAAGGCGGCCAACAGTCTCACATGTGGAGACACACTGCCGTGGGCAGATGGACGGGCAGCTGGCAAATTGCTCCTGTAGTGGTTCCCTATGCAGTTAGCTGTAATAGCTAATGAAGGGGGATACTTTCTGTGTTTGCTGTCGTTTAGACTGTGAGACAGGCATTTGAAATGCAGACTGTCCCACAGTCAGAATAATGAGAATAAGGCTCAGGTTGAAGAATTTTGGATTATTCAGCTTGGGCATATTGTAGAAGTGGAGTTAATTAATTAATATCAGCTCATCCTCAAACAAGATCTGATTATCTCCAACTTTGCTGACTGTGCAGACACCGGCAGGAACAACGTGAGACAGAAAACACAGATTTTATCTGCTGAGTCTGTAATCTGGTTATTGTGTCACCGAGCTTGTAGCTCACACACACACGCACACGCACACACACACACACACACACACACACACACACACACACGCCTCTAATCTTCTTCATCAGATCAGGTTTGTACATCCAGGTCGCTTACCTGGACATGATCCTGACAGCTGATCCCTCACGCCACCACAGTTTACTTCCTGCTCACAGTGACCTCACTTCCAGCCCTCCTGCTCTCTCCAGACTCAATTCTTAATTTATGGGCCAAGATCTAATTGATTGCTGTTAACACAAATATTTTAAGCATTTTTGTGCTTCAGTCAGTTGAGAGAACAAACTGTTCTATTATTATTATGACAGCATTTTTACAGTAACTGTGTTCTCATGTTTCCCATCATCCTCCAGGCCAGAGCTGCTGGAACAGCTGTGGAAGGCCAGAGCAGAGAAGAAGAAACTGAGGAAGACCATCCGAGCGTTTGAGGAAGATTTTTATCAGCATAATGGAAGGTAGGTGTTCACGTGCACAGAACAAAATCCAGACTGTCCGCATCATGAATTCAGTGTTGTTCCTCTCCTGAACAATTGAATATGGTGGATACACACGCAGACACATGCAGCACAATCCGCTATGTTAATGAAAGTTGACTGAAATCCAGTATTGTTAACCAGGAAGAGCACTACATTCATTGGTCACATGCTGCAATTTTAGCAATTAATGTAGCTGTGTAAAGAACATTTTATTTTTAGGTATGAGTCACCGTTAGTTCCTAGCAGCTTAAAAAAGTCAAGATTTAGACCATATATGTCCCGGAAAGTAATCGGCAGATTAGGGGATCAGGATGCCTTAAATTCCTGTCAGACTTCATGTTGAACCCCAACCGCAACCTGCATGAGTTGATAATGTGATCAGGCAGGACTGGCTAGAGGCAGACTTTTGGCATCAGGAATGTCAACTGCTGTGGTCGAAAGCATCGCGGAGGGAGACCATCATAGAACTGTCTTTTGCGAGGCATCCTTGCTCCTTGCTGAGTCCACTGACTTCCACTGTGAGACATACAAATGCCCGATGCCTGTGTTCGCTGTCAGATTGTTGACAGATTGCCGTGTCTGTCAGGAGAGAGCTGATAACTGCCTTTATTTCTGAGCAGCCCCACAGAGCTCTGTAGAGGTTCAGTAGCTGCTGGAGTAGGGACAGTAAGTGTGTGTCAGAGACTTCTTCAGCACAGGAAAATAAAACCTGTTCTCCTCTGTCTCCCTCCTCTGCTATAGAAATGTTCAGAAGGAGGACCGGGTCCCGATGCTGGAGGAGTACCGGGAGTACAAGAGGATCAAGGCCAAACTCCGCCTCCTGGAAGTTCTCATCAGCAAACAGGATTCCTCCAAGTCCATCTAGACCCCTCCCCCTCGCAACCCCTCAGATACTCGCCATCACGGCACACATCAGCTCTCATCACCGCTGCGAGGACCCGCCAAGGGTGTCCATCAGTCTGTCAGACGCCATCACACCTTGGAGGACTTAATAAACACTCCAGCATCATCGTCACATGACTTGACAGGAAGTCGACATCAAGACGCTCAGTCAGACTTCATGTTCACGACTTGGTGTGCTGCATTTATGTCATGGAGGAAAGTAAATTAGAGTGACTTGCTGGTTCAGAGTTACTTTGGAAAATTGAACTTTAAAGTCAGTAAGTTAGGATTGAACTGAAACACTTAAACACTGTTTGTAGTTCCAGGACAACTTTCAGTGAACTTTTGAGGGACTCAACCTGCGTTTTAACTACAGAAACCAAAGCACAGGTTTGGTTCTTGGAGTATTCACCTAGCACTGTTAAGAGCTATGTGTACAGTATCTATTCAGACTGCAACCAAACACTGGTTGTTGCTAATATCAGTAATCAGATTAGGGATGGGAATTTTATTTTGACCAGTAAAAAAAATAAAATTAAGTAATAAGTAAGCAGTAAATTAAAAAGAACAACATGGTGACTGTTGTCTCATGGCATACAACAACTCAAATGGGTTTTAATACTTTAATCTTTTGGCGAAAAAGTTCATGACACTTTGGTCCTGGGACTATTGAATCCCCATTAGTGAGCGATATGCATTGAAGTGTTTAAAAATACACATTTTAAGTGCAAAAAGGGCAAATTTTAAGCATTTTGATCACAAAATCACTTCAGATCATTACATTTGTTTGTTAAATACATGATTATCTATATGTGACTACAGATATTTTCCTTGTCTGTGATTTCAGATTTCAGTAATGTGGACATTACAGTCTCTGAGGTTAATTAACCGCTTTAAAGGGTCACGTACATTTTTACAGCCATTTTCATGTTTCATGAATGCAGCACCACCACAATATAAACTTAAAATCACTCCTGTCAGCCACAACTGATCTCTGCTGCCTCGTCTGACTGCGAATTGTTTCAAAACAAGGGAAAAAAGGAATCATCTTCACTGTCTGTCTTCATCATCGTTCCACCAATGTTGACTCGAGACTTTGCACTTGTCTTCTTATTTCTTCGACTTGTGAGAAAAAAAACAACTTTCTGACTTTTTAATTTCAAGAACTTTTCTTGTGTTGATTTTGGTTTCTTCGTGTTTATTTTTGCTTCATGCTGAACAGCATGAAGCATTTTAGACTCTTCACTCAAGACACCTGTTCTTTCTTTAGGACGTCGCACTGTGTGAAAAGTCCCTCTTTTCGTCTCGCTCCTGGGGGGCCACGGTTTCTCTAAGCAGCCTCTTTGGTGCGAGTGATTGGTTCTTTTATTCTGTCAGTAAAACTTTATTTAACGTCCTGGATGCTTCACCTTCTGACTGATTTTAAAATTCATTCACAGGTTTAAAAACAAGTTTGTTTGTTTGTGTATTCTTGTTAAAAAAAGAAGTGTAGACATACATGTTTGTGAGACACTGCTGTTCATGTTTATCTTGAATGAAATAGAGTACGTAGTAAAAAAAAAAAAAGTATTAACTCCCAGTGTGACCTTGGAGAAACGCCTGTTTCTGATTTTGCTTTTCATTTATTTCTGTTCCTCAGCATTTCCTTTAGGTTTTTTGGCAATATTTGTCAGTAAGATGTACACTAGGTTGGCGTACGCTGGTGTTTGCAAAGTAACTTGGTTTCCCATGAGCCTCTTGCAAAAAAGAAAATGCTGCTTTTAAGTCGCCCTAAGCTCAGACGTCATATGCTTGTGATTTTGATATTTCTGACTGCACTTAAAGGCAGCATTAGACTGAAGATGCTCATAGGGAACATTTCTACTCAGATTAAGAGATTTTATGACATTTTGTCTCTCCATTTGTTCAGTTTGCTGCATGGAGGCGTGTTAGTTTCTGAGGGATTATGGGTGATAAATGCTGAGGAGAGGAGCCAGTATCTGGTCCCTGCTGCTGCTGCTGCTGCTGCTGCTGCTGCTGCTGCTGCTTCTTCTCTGAAACCAAAAGCATGTTGGCTACAGGCAGTGTCAGCCTGACGGTGTGTTGAATGTCAGTGACGACGCAGTCAGCAGTTGCTGTGCAGCTGATGCGACTGTTACTGACGTTGGTTAAAGTTTGAATGTAGCTTTAAAGGCTGTATTGTATCAATGAGGTGCCAACACTGCCAGCACTGATTTTAAACACAGAGAAGTGACTCCGTCTGTGGTTCACTGATATTTTTCCCCAACTGGCGAGTCAGTGCGGAGGGTCTGATTAGTATGTAGCATGATGTCTACGATGCTGAGAGAACACAACAACAACCCTCGGCTGTGTTTCTCTTCGGTCTAACCTGCAGTCCCAGTGAAGTTTCATTTCCTGCTGGCAGGTAAAATGAGGGCAGGTGAGGAGGAGAACGTTTGAGGTGTGGTGCATGCCAATAAGCTTGTTCTCTTTGTTTATCTTCTTCCTCTCCGTAGAGGCCATGTTGTCTTATATCAGATAGGAGTCAAGATGTCACAGTGTGATGTGTGTAAGTTATTACACCGGCTGTGTTGGCAGGTGAAGTTCTATTATCAGAACCTCTTTGGCTCGTTACTTGTGAGATGTTTAAGGCCGATAAGACAAAATAGTACTTTTTTTTCTTTGCTGAATTGATGTACATTTAACTGCCAGAATCAAAGCTGACTGCAGTCTTTTTGTCTGTCAGTGGACGGCAGATGAGATGGTTTGAAATCAAAGTTTTGAGTGAGTCAAGAGTTGAACTTTTTGTGAGTGCTTGTGAAGAACACGATGGAGGTGTTTGTGTTTGTCAGGACGGTAAAGTTCGAAGGTTTGATGTAAAAAGATGTTATTTGCACAGCATTCACAGAATGCAGCCCTTTTGTGTTTTTTCATTTGTATTTCTAAAAATGAAGCACTACTTCTATACAAATATAAATATATACTGTACATAAAAAAACACCCGAAGGAATGAATGTCAGAAATGTTTAAATTATTTCAAACATTACGTTTGGCCCCCTTTGGTTCATTATATTTGTGATGCCCTGAGAATGTGTTTTTTTATTATAAATATTGCTATTACTATCATAACCATTATTTTGTGTGATAATGACAATAATAATAACCCTTTTGTATCTACTCACCAACTGTAAAACCAGCTGTAGAAGTTAGTCGGGCACTGTGTGTGACTAATCAAACATGAACCTGCTCTGTTCTCTGATTTCTTTTGTCGCTCTGTGTAATATAAGCTAATATAGAAGCAGTACTGTAGTGAGCTTGCATGGCAAAAGAGAACATAATAGTATGAATAACACGATGTATTGTTTCTATTATTTGTGCCATGAAGAAGCAGCAATAATAAAAGTTTGCGTGGAGGTTTTACAGTATCGGGTAATGATGGGTGGGATCGACTGCGTGTGAATATTTGAGGTACATTGTTATTTCTTTTTAGTCTAATTGTTTTCAGACACACACATTGTCACACACACACACACACACTCTGCTCAGACGGTGTGTTTTTACCACTGTTGTCAGCATAATGTTCATGTTGGCGCTGCTGAAAAACCAAAATAAGAGTTTAAATTAAGCAGGATGGTGAACAGGGATTGAAAAGCCAATGACAGATGTGTCATATCTGAAAACATTCCAGTTTTATCATCATTCAGAAAGTGGAAACAATCCATCGTCAGTCTCTGAGTGACTTTGATTTTACTTTTTTTGTGAGTCTCTAACAACGGTGATTTGTTTGGCGCCTCAGTTTCTTACTTTTGTTTTTCATTGTGCCTGCAACAGAGTGGTAAAATTCACGTGGTTCATACGTTGTAAACTGTAAATGTATTCTCTCTCTCTGTCAGTGTACAGTTGTTTCCTCTCACACTCACCCATCCAACATGCATGGTTGTTTCACACGCCTGGAGTTCGCAGCAGAAGTCACTGTCGAAGATGTCTGGCAGGTCAGAGCTCCCCCTGGAAATGTTGGAAGAAAATGACCAGTTTTTTGGTCAAAATGGCAACAGATGAGATAAAAGATATATTTTACAAGTCTGTAAATGGATTTTTGAGTAAAGAGAGTCTTTAAATCTTTAAAATTTAAAGGACAAACGGTCATGTTGCTTACAGGTGTGATTAAGAAAGTTAGAAATCAGATACTTCCTGACATCTTTGATACTGGATTTTGCTGTTAATCCCTTTGACCAGAGAGGTTCTTGCTTACTCCAGGTCGCCTACATGTGAAACTGTGTTTTATCACATCAATATATTGTATGTACGTATGTATCTATAAATGTTTTCTTACTTTGTGAATGCTTTTTTTCTGTTGTTTCTTCATTAACAAAAAGGATGAGAAAATACAATCAGTAACAAACATTTACACATGAAAATAAAATTTACAAGCTTGCCACATCAGTTCTCTTGCTTCTTGAGTCAAATGAACCAAAGTAACAGAACGTATTGTCTGTCAACTTACCCTGGATAAATAAAGGTAAATGGTTAAAATATTAGATACTATAGACAAATACTTGAAAAATGTCTATGATACAGCAGTAAAGGACTTAATAATGTTCTTAGCAAGCTGGGCCAAATGCAGAGCAATAGACAAAAGACGCACTACAGGCCCCATATAGAGCCAGGGCTTTGTTTTTTCCATTCTGGGCTAAAGTAGAAATGTGGTGCCCTCCGTAGAAGAGGACCCCCTAAATACAGCAGGGGCGGATCTAGAGAAATATTCCTGTGGTGGCCCGAGGGTGACATGGAGACTTTATGGGATGTCAAAAATGCAGTCACATATATCAATATTTGCTTGGAAAAGCCCCCAAATTTTAACAAAAAAACATTAAATTATTGTGGCACATTAGTAAAACGTTGAATAGAAATATCTACATTTGGCATTAGAAATCAATACATTGTTTTATTTCCAAATCTTTACAAATACATACCTTTTTATGCCTATCACGGAGTCTATAATGTGGCCATAACAGAAGATTAAATTATATGTGTTAATAGCATTTGACACCAAACAGGGTGACAGCTGGGTTGGCGAGGCAGCTGTCACCCACTCTAGATCCGCCCCTGAGGAAAAGGCTCATTCTAACGTAACGAAAACACAACAGGCCTTATTTTGATGATTATACACTAATGAAAACATATATATAAATATTATTTTCAATTTCTGCCAATAGATCCTCAATAAAACACACTGGACCTTTAACTCTTATATTTCACTGTTTGTCTTTGATGACTTCATTTTTATTCCAACACATCTGCAGTTTTGTGAAATGAACTTAAGAAGCAGTGTTTCTCATTTTGATGGTTACTTTGAACTTTAAGTTTTCATTCACTTCCTGTAATTGTGCAGCACACTGACTAGTAAACAGCGCCCTCTAGTGGACAACAGCAACAACACACCCGCCATCACTGACTTCAATTATACTTTCATTGCAGCATTTTTCATATATATTTAAAAACGTGTGCATTCAAATAAAGTAACTGCATTATGACTGGTTAATAGTGTGGAGAGAACAGGTGTTATTAATAACATTGATTATAGCTGAGCTCCATTCGGAGTTCCTGATACTGTCCATACTGTCACAGAGCAATCAGTAATACTATCAGCTTTATGACAATGTCTCCAATCACTGAACTAATAAAATGGCCACTAAGTGTCCTTTAATTAAATAATGTTGGACATTAAATAGTATATATAACTATTTTTTGGGGCTGATGGGAATCACAACTATCCAGTGGTAAGCAGGCAGCTCCACCACCATACTCACATGTAGACTTCTGTCTTATTAACAACCAGCAGTGGAAGAAGTATTCAGATCTTTTAGATTAAGTAAAAGTAGCAATAACACCGTGCAGGAGTACTCTGTTACAAGTAAAAGTCCTGCATTCAAAATGTTACTTCAGTAAAAAGTACAGAAGTATTAGCATCAAAGTATAATTAAAGTATCAAAAGTAAAAGTTCTCTATGCTGAATGGCCTGTTTCAGAAAATGTACATTATATTATTGGATTATAAATACTGATGAAATGTGTAAGAGGGTAATTGATTACTTTCACAGGTAGTCTTATAATAATAATAATAATAATAATAATAATAATAATAATAATACATGATGATTTCTTTGTTGGTTATATGTTGTTATTAACCTGAATCTGCACACAAACATCAAACCAAGGTTATAATGCACCAGAGTTTATTCAACTCTCCCCCACAACACTGTGCCCGAGGTTGCTGTGGCAACATGTGAACTTACGACGTAATGCGTAGCCAAGGAAACCAACTTTTCACAAACTAAAAATACAGCAGAGCGTTTCCATGTAAACAGCACATGTAAAAAAGAAAGGTTTGTGCTAAGTAGGCTGCTAATAAATAAACCTTTATCCTGTCAGTGACGATATTAAACACACCTCCTCTCTACATCTGTAAACAAATACACTGCCAAGTCAACATATAGAAAAACTCACCTGTTTCTGAGCTCCACAAACGGCACAACAACCCCTCCAGCAGCCCAGACTGAAACAACCACCCAACATTAATACGCTGTAGTAAGTTTATTAGGATTGTTATGTAAACACTTACATATAGACCTGCATGGTTCAGCACTACGGACAGGTCAGAGGTCGCTGATTAACTGTACCTGTCAATCAATCATCAAAGAGCAGCACTGCAGCCTTCAGCTTATATCTCATTATTAATGACATTTGTAATTTGATGACAATCATCTCCATAACGAACAGATTTATGATTTGAAGTCTCCTTTCTTTGTGCTACACATCACATGATCTGACACCAGTTCAGCAGCTGTGTGGAAGGAGTTTGTGGTGACTTTTCATGCATTGCATTTAAAAAATGTTACAATGACGACCTCGAGGGCGCCCTGATTGCTCGCCTGGTAGAGCTGGTGCTCCCAAATACCAAGACTGAGTCCCTGCTGCAGCGGCCATGTTCCACTGTGACCTGTGGCCCTTTGCTGCGTGCCTCCCCCTCTCTCCCCCTCTCTCTCCCCCTGCATCAGAATATACTCAAAGTACTCAGTATGTAGAATGGCCCATTACGTTACTGTAGTTATCAGTGTATGTATGTGTACATGTTGCACCTGGTAAAGCTCTTTTAATGAGTTCTCATACTGCTGGGCTGCTTGTGAATAAAGTGTCTCAACCTGGAAACAATACATCATGGTTCATTTGTTGGATATATTTAGTTTTAAATCTGAATCTACAAAGTGACTAAAGTTGTCAGATAAATGTAGTGAAGTAATTAGCATATTTTAAAGTATTGCCCTGTAAAATTTAGTGGAGTGAGTATAAAGTAGCAGAAAATGTAAATTCCGGTACTTTAAAAATTCTTATCTCTAATATTATAGGATATATCGAGGATGCACACAGTTTCCCACTGTCCTTAGCATATATCGTCATGATATTTACTTTTACTTAATGTCTGATATTATTCTGCATAATGAAACTGTTACTGATATTTCACACACAGTGTCTGATGAAGGTGTATCAGAGATCCCAAACAGTGACACAGATCATATAAACCACCTGTGTCTGTGTACTGCTGTGTACCTTCACAATGAACAAAGGACACATTAAACTTGGCAGAACTCTGTTGTGCTCTTAGAGGAAGATCCCTGTGTTCACGTTATTCTGTCCAACACAAAGTCAGCTTTTATGTGCCAGAAGATGGAAGTTCATTTCATATAAAAAAATTAAAAAAAAGATCCTAAATGCACATTTTTACAATTCCAGACAAAGCAGCACAAGTCAGTTTAGAGCATTTTTTTTTTGCAAAGTAAGCCTTTGTTGTTGTTTTTTTGTTAATTATTTCAAGTATGAAGGTTTACAAATCATCTGCAAGTACAGTGCACAAACTTCAACCTTCACAGATCTCCCAAACACACGTCAGTCAATGAACTCACAATATCAACCGTTTAGTTTACGACACCCACAGTTTATGATATTAAAAATAGAACATCTGCGCTTAGTAAGAACATTACTCGTCTGAAAACTGCGAGGACCACACCTCCTCACCAACTCACTTCGAGGTCCATTTAGCAGCTCGTCTGGAGCTTTCGACCAAGTGCTCACCAGCTGAGGTTTAGGTTGAGTTTAACTTTTAATGCGGTGGAGAAGTCCCGAAGGTGCTCAGGATAGCGGACACTGAACATCAACGACTCCACGATAATTCAGCAAACTCAGTCTGCTAATGAAGGCCATGTGATACGGTCAAAAGCTCCAGAACAGCTACTAAATGGACCTCAAGGTGAAATTCTGTTTTTTCTACAAGGTCACACATGAACTGAAATTCAACCATACTGGTGTTTTTTTATGTTTTAGCCGATCTACATTGAATTGCATACGGTTATAACTTACTGTTATTAATTAACACATTTTCCCTACATTCCAGGCGACCACTGGTTTCCATTTTATTAAGAAACTATATTAAGTTAAACTAATAGAAACTTGATTTGCTTCAGATGACTCATGCCAGTGAACAGAGCAGTTGTTATTTATAGCAGTAATGCAGTGAAGAAAGTATAGATTGTTCCCTCTGGTATGTTCAGATGCTGATGGGAGGCTCTAACACCCAAAGCTGTGCTTCTAATCACCTCCTATCTGTTGCCAAGTGTATTTACATAACTTCCAGTTGTTCAAGTGCACTTTATGCTCCACACACTCCCTAAAACATCCCCACAATGGAAGGAAAACAGAACAAAAAAGTAGTGTTCATGGTGTAAACCCTAATGAGAAATCTCATATTTCTCCTTTGACACAACATCATCTTCATCAGTGAGAACACAAAATAATATTATAGTGTACGAACTACCGAGTGTCTATAATGTAGGAAATAGAGAATGAATTAATGCAGCAGTAGTTTCAAATAACAGCACAAGACTTGTGCTGCCACATTCATAATGTAAGAAACTGCTAATATGACTGTTTACCTCTTGATTGACATTATAGCTGGTGCATGCTGCAACACTGTGCTGCAGCAGACCTCTAAAGGTGCTTATAATGCACTTCCTGCCCACAGACACATGAACACAGCGTACAATCCACACCATTTACCTGCATTACTACGCCAAGATAACTAGCAAACAATGTAAACTAGGATCTGGAGTGGTGCACACGCTGATGTTGTATTACATTGCAAGTAACTGTGTGCTCCAGACCTCAGCACTGCCGCCCCCCCAACAGTCCTGTCTGTCGAGGCAGCAACATAAGTCCAACCCTGGAGAGTCCCTTAAAAAACTGGAATATTCACAGTGATCACTTACAGCATCTCGAGTGAGTTTCATACGGTAATCTGAACTTCCTGGAAGACACTAATCAATCTGACTGTATGGTTTGTATTAATAAGGTTAGTATTAACATGGTTGGGACTAATGTAGAACACATGACTTGTAAATTGACTGAACATACAAAAACAACAGTATGGTTTTTTTAGGCGTTTTATATACTTCTGTCATCACAGCCGAACACGTCCAGTTAACTCCATGATTTTTTAGAAGAGTGCAGGCAGCAATGAAAGGCTGGCTGAGGACACCTTTCATAAAAACAGCTTCTATTAATCTCTTTTTCTTCAAAAGCTATGGCACCAGTCAGTCCACTAAATAACTACACCTAAAATATACCCACTATCATCTGGATGAATATGCGTAGAGCACAAGTGTAACACGAGGCTGAGAAAATGAAATGAGAACCTCACTTTGTTATGAATAAATGCTGTGTGATCAATTGTCCCAAAACAATAAATAGAAAAATCTTAAACCTGCATCTTTTACATTATAACTGTGCAGCTGAATTTCTACAGTGCATTTTGACACACTCCCTTAGACAATGAACACAAACAATTCATCATTTCAGAGATTAAAAAAACACCACGTGACTCCAGCATTAATCTGTTTGACCTAACTGGCACTTTTTTCTTTCTTTTTTTTTTTACAATTTCGGATGAAATTATTGGCCTTTGAGTGGTGCGTTTAAATGCTCCAATGAGTACGGTCAGTAACGGAGACAGACAGCTGAGCAGCCGTCTGTCTGACAGCAGGTCAGTGAGACAGGCTGACGTCTGGGCCAGCCAATCAGTGAGTCAAACAGCCAGCCTGCCGGTCTGTATCAGTCAGTGCAAGTGATCAGTGCATCAGTAGTGTGTGTCGACAACAGAATCAAGTCCTACTGCGTCGAATGGGATCAACCAGCCTGGGTCTAAAGCCACAGCAGTGGTTCTCTAGCTCTTTAAAAACAATCTCAAAAATATTAAATATGACGGCTGATTTGCATATAAGATGTTTTTCTACATTCTTTATATTATCTTGCGGCTCACTTGGTCCAGGCTTCCAGGTTGAGAACAAATACACTCCACGCCGCAGCTCTCTGAAGAGCTGTTTCCATGTAGTTCAACAGTTGGACCTGCTGACGGTCCGCACAGGAATCAAACTGGGTTCATTACTTTAAAATCAAGCCGAGCAAACAGTTGCCATGAGCTGATTTATGTTCTAGGAAACTGCGGCAAATCTCATAATTAAAAAAAAAAAGGCTCCCATGGCGTGCCCAGGTAAAACCTCATCAGTATTCAGGTTCCCAGGTTTGATACGGTCCATCACATAAACGCCGCCATTACACCACAGAGCATCTAAAGCACTAAAGTCCAACGTCTGAGTTAGTCTTCTGTCAGCTGATACAGCCACTTGTTATGTGCTTGGCATTTGAGAACTCACCAAGACAAAGTTCTTATAAGCCCACCATCCTGTGGCTACTGTTTCTTATCCAGTGCAACGACGTCCTTCAAAGTCAGGATCTCTGTGATGGAAACTGGCTTGTAGCAACAAAAAAAGTCTGGCTGTGGTTTAGCGCCAAAAAACTCCTCAAAACGCATCCTTGGTTATTAAGTAAGCTGTGGACTGAGGGCGTCCCGTCCATTTGGACTGCGTCTTAGGCGTCTCTTCTCCGTTTGCATGGTGAGCTTCAGACGTCAGTACAAGTCTCTAGGCGACCAGCTGCCGCAGTGCGAGGGCCCTCGTCATAATGGCTTGTCAATCACTGCGACTCCTGTAGGAGAAAATGAAAGAGGGAGTGAGACAAACGCATAAACAGGTCAAATGGGAACTCAGTCATATTAATTTCTCTCTGTGACGTAGAAATGATCAGACTTACCAGCATAGCTGCGTCCGTTGCTCATGTTTGTGGGAATGAGGCTCCACTTGTCTGTGGCCGGGTTGTAAAACTCTACTGAGGAGAGGTTACAGGAGCCGTCGTCTCCTCCAATGACATACAGCAGCCCGTTAATGGCACAGACACCTTGAGGAGAGAGTTATACACATTTAACCACTCTGACAAACCTTATACACACGCTCACATGCTTATGTGTTCATCGGGACAAAGTAAAAGGTAATTCCGGTGTTCTTCCAAAACTCTTAGATACAGACAATTAACTTATTTGATCTAAAAGACCAACACAGGAACCTTGCCTTAGTTATCACTAAATCACCAGTTCATGAGGTTACACACAAACTGTCAGCAGAGAGATGCACTGATAGGCAGAAAAGAAAAACACACAACCTGCACACACTCACTCTTTCATGTGCAGTAAATGAAACACACATTAAGCAGGGTAACATCTGCCACTGGAGGACTGTAATTACTAAACAGGAAACTAACTGTAGCTTCATGATTTTGATCTTTGCTTGTGAAGTGAAACCGTTATAGAGATCAATAATGTGCCAGCTGCTAATTACATACTTCTGCTTTAATCAATGAGCTAGCGTTGCCTAAAGAATGGCTCCTTTACAGGTGATCATTCATCTGTTGGACAAGTCTTTAAAGCAAAGGATTCAAACACTCCAGCGGTCATTTGATTCTCTTGAATCCCTAATTGTGCAGTTTCTAGCATTTACAGTTTTCCAGCCACAGAAACTGACAGATGGATGGCGTGCGTCTGTGGTTGATATCTGACCTGCGTTTCGTCGGCACATGTTCATGTCACAGACCAGCCTCCAGGTGTTGGTCTGTGGGTCGTACACCTCAACGCTCTTCCTCACCAGTGGACCGTCATGTCCTCCTGCTGCATACAGTTGACCGCCCAACACACCCACCCCTGGGCGCGCACACACACACGCACACACACAGAGAGTTGAGTTCTTTCTAGGATTGTACAATTGCAGCCAATGTCCACAGGGTGGTGTTCTTGCTCCACAGGAAACTGTTGGCAAAAGCTCAACCTGCCTCATTAACTATAATACAGTATGTACCTTGTGTGGCTTTGAATTAACTGGGGTAATCTTGTTCTATATATAGAGTCAGTGCCAGGCTCACATACATTGCAGCTGGAACAGATGAGCACAAATAACAGAAAAATAATATTAAGATAATATTAATTAGTATTAAGAAACGTCAAGAAACACTAGTTACAGTTAAAAAAAGTATTGTTTTACTGCTCGCTGTGTATTGTGTATGTAGTGTGTGTTTGTATGTATGTGTATGTGTATGTGTGTGTGTGTGTGTGTGTGTGTGTGTGTGTGTGTGTGTGTGTGTGTGTGTGTGTGTGCGTGTGTATATACCTGCTCCACTGCGCCGTGTGCTCATGTCAGCTACATAGCACCACTGATCAGTGACAGGGTCGTATTCTTCCACTGTACTGAGACACTGACGGGATGCTCCATCATAGCCTCCTACTGCGTACAACTTACCTGTAGACACACAGACACACACACACACACACAGACACACAGACAGACACAGAGTTATTCAAATAGGTTACATTTGAATTTTGGCTTTTCAGTGAAAGAGAATATGATGTAACCCAGGTCAGACGTCTTACCATCGACCACACCAACACCCACGCTGCTTCGTCGTGTGTTCATGGAGGCTACATACATCCACTCGTTACTTTTATAATTGTAGGCCTCTACTGTCGACAGACCTGATACAGACACACAAGAGAGAGAGAGAGAGAGAGAGAGAGAGAGAGAGAGAGAGAGAGAGAGAGAGAGAGAGAGACAAAAGAAGAAAAAAACTGAAAGACAGACAAATAAGCGAATAACAATAATAGGTTAGAATAAGACTGTGTGTGTGTGTGTGTGTGTGTGTGTGTGTGTGTGTGTGTGTGTGTGTGTGTGTGTGTGTGTGTGTGTGTGTGTGTGTGTGTTAAGACGGGAACGTTTGGCATCCAGCTGGTGGACGTGTTAGGAGAAGAGAAGAAAATGGCTCCCATATCGCCTGTGTTAACTGGAAACACTATAGTAGGTAGTATATTCTGCTCATCCTCGTGTGGTAATCAACCAGATAATGATGCTATCATTATCTAGTCACACATCAGCTTTTTGCTGAGTAAGTCTTTCTCACCTCACATTAGTTCCTCACATTGTTTACTTCTGTTGAAGGCATTTTTTTCACTGAGTTTGTATATTTCCATATCTCATTTTCTACAGCTGGAAATAGTTTAGAGGTATAGTTAGAGAGTTAGAGGGCTTCATCTTGAATCTGCATCTGTAATCTTATCATCTTATATATCATAGATTGAGCTACTAATATACAACAGTTGCCAGCACTTTAGGTCATAATAATGTTTTTTTACAGGCTAAATAATCCTCATGCAATAAAGGCTTCAACATTTCTACAAATGTAGAAAGCAAATATTGTGTTTTGTTACTTGATACTATTATTCACTGCAGTATTGCTGATTGTATGTCTACATTTCTTCGGTTCAAATCATTGAAAAAAATCAATCACAAAAGAATTGTTGAACGTTAAACTACAACCTTGAGTTGTGACTGGATGAGTGATCCTCAAGAAACTGACTTCTTACTTTCCAAGACTCAAAAATGTACAGGAGGAACCATTTTTAGTGGACAAGAAATAAAGTATAAAACTACGATAACTGCTTTAGTTTCACTTGTATGTGTGTGTGTGTCTGTGTGTGTGTGTGTACCTATACTTCCGTTAAAGCCCCCCACAGCGTACAATAAATCGGCCAACACAGCAGCTCCCAGCGTACTGCGTCTCTCCTGCATGCTCGCCACCGCACTCCACTGGTCTCTCACTCCATCGTACACGTCCACTGTTCGCTCCCGCAGCGAACTATTGAACCCGCCAACTGCATACACACGACCTGCCATGGAAACCACACCTGGACACACACACACAATGAAATGTGTAAAGGAGCATACTGGTGGTTGTGCATGTTTAAGCCTGTTAACAACATATAGTTTATTCTTTACATTATAAAACACTGTTTCAACTTATTTCAGTATAAGAATCAACTTGCAGAGATCTGAATCTTGAATGACACAGTGAACGTCACATAAAACATTTAATCAGTTGTCCTATCTGGTGCATTCAGGGACACTCTGATATCAAGATTTTAGGAAACATGAATTCAATCTGATCAGAAAGTTGACAAATTAATGTATGAAAATCTTAAATGTTTTAATAATATCTTAACACTTACTCACAAACACCTCTTAACAACTGCCTCATATTTTTAAATGATGATGTAATAAATAAATAAACTATAAACTCAGCATAATATCCATTTTTTATAGGTGGCTTTATCTTCCCACAAAAACAAAACCCTACAAAACACAGGCTCACCTGCCCGGCATCGTCTTGAAGGCAGGTCGGCTACCTGGTACCATCGATCTTCCTGGAAGTCATAACACTCCACACTGCGGATCGCCTTGGGAGCCTGACCGCCCACCACAATCATCACCTGTACAAGCACACAGTCAGTGTCAGAATTACAGTCAGTGGGTTTCGCTATGGTGAGGTACACAAGAGTTTTGTGGCTCTTTATTATGAGGAGTGTGACTGTGTATTTAGTTTGTTTTTGTGTACTTTGGGGATGCTGATAGGAGTTCGTGGTCGGGTCCTGTCCGTCTTGATGAGGTGCCGCTGGTCGGCTGGCAGCAGGTGATACTTCATTGCTTCTATGAGAAAATCTTTACAGGTGTTGTTGTTCTTTATCAAAGCCTCTTCCTCGACAATCTGAAACAGGGACCACATTTCTTTAGTAAACAAGAACAATGCCACAAGACTGTCGTACAAAGCATTTACATTTACACAGTAAGCAGGTAAGGCTGGTAACGGGAGAACAGGTTTACATTCACTGTAATGACCTGGGTACTGTACATCAGCATATACATGCAGTGGGTCAGTACCGAGAACTCTCCCCTACTTCCTACCTTATTTAGAAAACATGGTGGCTTATTTGAACTTTTAACAGAAGACACTGTAGTGCAGTGAGAGGAGGACAGGCAGACCGCAAATGTGTCTGATATTTAACAAATGGTCAAATGTTCTGTGGTGGAAATGAACTTGAACTATTTTTACCTTTTAGAGGATACTTTGTATTGGTTTCAGTTTAAATTGTTTGTTTAAATATGACACATGTCACATGGTCCATGCAAAGAGCTGATTAGAAACTTGTTTCCCTATAAACATGGGGAAAATCAGCTGATTGTAACCAGGTTACTTTAGTGAACATAAACGCTCTGATGATGGCAATTGGCTAGATATTGAGAAATATACAGTACAAACAGTGATAATCATAATCATCATCGAAAAATATATGCTACACTCAATTTTAGTTTCAGTGCAGGTACTATGGTAGACTTTAAATGATTTTATAAAATAATATTGCTTTTTAACATACTCTTCAAGAGACCAAACTTTACCAGAACTGAAGCATGTTGGTGAACTCCATATGTGGACTTTTATGTTTGATCTCGATTTGTTTTACACTCATCAAGATGGCTGTTGGAGAACTAGTGGAACATCTTCAGGCCTTCACTTACTACAGTTCATGTTCCTGTAATCTGCATGACTGAGAATCTTGATAGACACACACAAGTGTTTGGTGTTACTCAAGAAAAAAAAGGAGAGAGGGAGAAAGCAGAGCAGAACATTTCTTTTACCTGTACCAGGTAATCCCTGGACAGTAGTGGAAGTCTGACGTGCTCCATCAGTTTTGGCATGTACTCTAGACGCGCTGGCTTATCGTGCTTGATCCAAGCTATCATAGCCTCGAACACCTAAGAGACAGAGAGGAGAGTCAGAGAGCAGTGGCATAGTGTAATGTAGACGGGGAGAGAATTGTTCAAAATGATTCAGATTTCTTATATAAAGTAATTTTCTTTGTCCTACATTGACTGAAGAATACAATGACTTGTCAATGACAGTAGTGTGTGTGTGTGTGTATAATATTGGCTTATTGGGAATGCAATAGGGCTGCACAATTAGTAGAAATATTATCGAAATCACAATATGGCAAAGTGCAGCAGCTGTAATGTTTTGATAAAAGTGTAATCTGTGAACATTAAAGTACAGACGGTCTGCAGAGAGGCCCTGGGGCTACAAATCTTGTTCTCCAGATTTAAGAAAACATGTTTGTTTCATATCATCATGATTTTAATGGTTTTATTTAGTGAAAATTCAATTTGTGATGCAATACTGATTATTTCCGATAACTGTGAATCGCAATCTCTGTAGAAACAATCTCAATATGTTTTTACCATCATGCAGCACTACATGTTTTACACTTTAGCCAAACTTTCTTATCCCCACGCCCCTATTCTGATATCTGAAATGATTAGAAGGAAAGAGTTTCAGACACTGTTCAATGATGTGCCACACCCCACCCAATTCTGACGATTTAAATCATTGATTGTGTGAATTTCATTGTTTAAGCAGTAGATACTGTGTTCTTTCATAGTGAAATGCTAATATTGATTGCTCCCAGGAGGATGTCAGTATAACAGAGGTGGCAGACCTTTGTTTTACATCTTTTCCTATCTCAAACCTACTTCAAATTCATTGATTTGCACACATTCACACTTGGTCATCTCCTTGGCCTGTGGAGCAGCTCCACTCGGGCAAACGAGGGACTGAGTGCTCCTCCTGTTGTGCACAACGGGACAACAACGACGGTAGTTGAATGAAAGAGGACCATTACTCGACAACTCCCCAGGCTCTCTTTTCCTCCAGGGTTTGAAATCAAAACCCTTTACAGTAGCTTACACAGTAAAACCTACATCCTCTTTCAGATTGAAACAGCCAAAAAATACAGACATGTTTCATGTAGCAACACAATGACACAGCAATAAAAACTGCCAAAAAATAATGCAGTCTCCAGCCTCTGTGCGTGATACACAAAATACACAAACTACTTTCAGCCTCATGCTGATTTCACACAATACTGTGGAAACTGTCTACAAACCAGTGGCAAAATCACTGACGGTTACATCTAAATACAATTCATCAACATTAATACAATTAATTAAGCTAATTTAATAAGGAGCTATACAGTGTTTGTATGTGGTCTTACTTAAAGAACCAGCATATGTATGTAGAGCAATGGAAATAAGTAATGTAGGGTTCATTTCTATGTATCAAAGTGATTGATTGTTTTTCCAGATGCATTTAAAAACTATATGAATACACAGTATGACAGCCCCCTCTGTGTCCGTCTGACTGAACCAACAGTCACCTTGACTGCTGACAGCAGGATGACACACAGATGCTCCCGCACACTCTTCCTGTTGACAGCAGCAGACATATTCCAGAGGATGGAGCGTCTGTCTGCTGAGGCGAGCTAATCAGACGCAGTGAGTAGGATGAGGACATGTGTCTTTAATACAGCCACAGATATTTCTCAGCTCCCACTCTAACTTGAATGTCTTTATCTTTTCCAGTGGCCAATATCTCTTGAAAACTCCCATATGAGCAAAATCCTCTTTTCACCCACAAGGAAAGAGACAAACTGCTTTTATTAAAGTGTGTGTGTGTGTGTGTGTGTGTGTGTGTGTGTGTGTGTGTGTGTGTGTGTGTGTGTGTGTGTGTGTGTGTGTGTGTGTGTGTGTGTGTGTGTGTACCTTTTCCTCCGTGGAAACAGTGAGCTTGTCACTGGAGATGAGGCTGCACACCTGCTGCAGAGAAAGACCCAGGAACTCTTCTCCTTGCACCACCTCAGTGAAGTGCTGCTCTGAGAGACACAAACAACACAGACTGAATATTTTTGCTCTGTAAAAAACAAACACAAAGCTCAAACGTTAAAATGTTATTGCTGAAAAGATGTCACCGATGTCCTTTTCAGCGTCATTTAGAACATCTGGACATCTGGATATGTAGCATTATCCCAAAGACTTCCAAAGACATTTTTCAGGGCTGGTGAAACTAACTGTTACATAAAAGTACCATCACCAACCCACCACACGCACAGTGGCAAAGATGACTCACGATCTGTGGTGTGAACACTGAGAAGCTTACCGGCGTATGCGTGGGCTTGGTTGAGAAGCTGTGTGCATGTGTGCAGGTCAGCGAAGGCTCTGATGCCCAGACAGTTGGTGGGGTGAAGCTGAGACTGCAGGAACTCACAACAAACCTGACGAACATCCATCAGCTGGAGGAGACTGGCTGCTGGCAGCAGAACCTGAAATGACAACACACACAAAGTCCATTTAACACTCAGATTTTATTGATGGAAGAACTTTATTGGAATTTTGTTTTTTTTTTAAATAAACATGTTAGAGCACAATTATTTACCACCCACACACAAACATTTAGGAGGATTTGGTAGCTGGACGTCAGTTAGCCATTTACATTACGTCATTACTACTACTGGTCAGTCAGTTAGTTTGTTATAAACCAGCCAGTCAACAAACCTGCCAAACAGTTGGCCAACAAGCTAGCCATTAACCTCTGTGCATCACCTTGATACCCACTCTATAAATATGTCTATAGGCAGCAGAATAGTTTAAATGAAATCTATTTTGGTTTGTCTGCAGAAGGAAAATAGTGAGTTTGGAAGTAAAACAAACCCTGGGATTTGTCTGCAATGCGTACCGGCTAAACAGGCAAATTTGTTGCAATTTGTTTTTGGCCATAGCTCACCAGTTTCACCATCGCATCTCCTTGCAAGCTGCACGAGCTGGGCTTTACACCTTTACAGACTTGGAGTCACAGCGAATACATTAAGTGTCGCAGAACAACAGCCCTTAAAAACACACCAAACTCATTCATTTGCCAGCAGAAACAAAAGGCAAAAAATAACAATACTGACACTGTAATATGAGATTAAATACTGTGTGAGATTTTGGCCATTGTTTGTCCCATTATATCAACAGTGAGTCTGCCACTGTTGTTCCACCCTAATCCAGCTCTGCGTTAAAACAAGGGTTGTTGATGATGGAGGCGTGTTGTTTCAGCTGCTGATGAGACAATGAAATATAATCCAAGGAGCTTGGTTTGAGTAACAGATCAATGGGTTTGAGGCTTTATATCAGCCACAAAAGCACTGAACAACAGTTTATAATACTTAGAGAGGATTTTACAACTCTGAAAAGTTAGCATGACAACAATTACTTTATCTTCTGAGATAAACAACAAAAATACAATATGGTGTTAATGTTACAAAGTTACAGAGCAGGAATGGATGCCTGCATGAATATGATGGGCTGAGCCAGATTCAGCTTTTTTAACTGGACAGTTCTGGAGACAGGAAACCCCTGCGTTGGAAACCCCTGATGACTGGGCTCAATAAAATGAAGGAGAGAGCTAGAAAGGAAATTTTTTCTTCAGTGTCCCACAACTGCTGTTAGTTGTTCCCTGTACTTATACCTGAATACAAAGTATAATTAAATCACTGCAAATGCAAACCCGTTTCTTATATTTAATTATTATTATTAAGCCAAATAATGACAAACTCACTGCAGAGACATTGTATATTGTATATTATATATGTATATTTGAAGTAAAAAAGTGAAAAATGGAGGGAAAAGTTCAAAGAAATTAGAAGCCTTAGGAACAACCCAATCCAGAGATTCAGAGAGAAAGTCAAATGTGCCCCACAGACCACCACCCCTACTGACTGTCTGCAGAGGGTGCAAGAGGAGAGGGAGAGACCCCAGTGCTGTCTGAGCAGCATGCACGGGAATGTATTACAATATAACTGAATACATTTCTCGCCTTTACCCTGAGGGTCTGAAGAAGTCGATAAAGTTGCTAAATCTAGTGAACAAATTGGTAACACTGGTCTCTCTCTGGGTGTGTCAGCGTGCGTGTGATTTAGTGTAGAGCTTGTGTCAGTGCCACTTCACATTTTAAACTTTTATTAAACAATTAACAATTAAAATCATATATATTCCATGACACATTATAATTTCCTTTGTATTGATGCATTTTGCTACTGTCCCACCACATCTTTGTGCCCCAGGTGCTATTGTTTATTATCCCCGGGACAACAGGACATCCTTAATTTCGAGCTCTGTGAGAGAGCTGCTACTGCTGAAAGCACAATGCTAACAAAGACATGCTTGGCTGCATCCCTGCACACAAACTCAACTAGGTCAGTGAGACAGTCTCGACACCTCTCTGTCTACACACTCACTCATCCTCAGTGTGTATTGTTACCGTCTCCTCTGTTTTCTGTGTACTGCTGCCCTGAGGCCTTATGTCTCTGAAAGGGGAGCATCAGGCTCAAAACTCTGCTGACAGCAGCTGTGACACCCCAAAACACACAGACACAGGACTGAGGGCAGCACATACACTGTACAGTGAAAACACACAGGTTAAAGAAATTCAGAGTAAAAGCAATCTTTTACTGAATATAACCGAATAGTCAAAACACACACACACACACACACAAACATGGCACATTCTAAAGTGAGCCAATCAGACAGGCACGCTGCTAACAGTGGGAGGATTTCCTGCCTCTCTCCATGCACACTTCCTGTGCTGATAATCAGAGGAAGTATCCTGCCTGAAGCTTGATCCTGCTGCATTTATTCAACCCCGCACCAGAGCCATGCAGCTACCAACGGTTAATGCCACTGAGATAAACAAGGCCTCAATCTGGTGCTTTCACAGCCAAGCACAGCTCGCAACCATTACCAGCTCTTACACTTCTTGTAATAAACATCTGCTCCTCAGGCAGGTTCATTTTGGACAGTCTGAAATTCAAACCAAAGAGTTAGAGCAATCAGGCCTGAATGAACAATTTCCCTTCTGACATGCAAAAACACTGACACAATAAAAATCAGGAAAAGGTAAATAAAAACAACTGTTTAATCAACTTTCTGGTTGTTGTTTTTTTGCTAATTTTGTCACAGATAAGTCTTCTTTCCCTTTGTTGGGAAAACATAACACATATCTGGAATCCACTGAAACAGAAGTCTGCTTTTAAAGGTGCTCTGACAAAGTGAAGGATATCTGCTTTCACAAACTAACTTTGATCTTATTTCAGTTGTATTCTGTTACTCAAAAGGTCACTCCACATTGATAATCACTAGAGCAAAAGTCTAAAATGAATGTGTTCTGAATAAATGGCGAAGGAAAAAGGTGGCTTGTTAAGCTTGTTATGTTGTTACTCTGACCTTTGCTCAAAACAAAGGACTGCGCTCAGAAAAAGTCAAGACAACAGCTACAAGACAGGTTTTATAACTATGTGACTAATGTTGTGAGTACAGATGTTTTAGCTGGGAGCAGCAGCGCTACTTTAAATTAAATTATCCAAACTAAAACTGTGAAAAATAGTGTCAAACAGTGACTGAGCTAGTGTTTTGGGCACATGTTTACTTCTTTAAGAGAGTAGAGGAAGGGCTGAGAGGGCTACATGGACACAACAGACAAAAAAGCCTTGAGATGTACAATGTGAAGGGGTTGGTAATATCCCACCATGTTACTGCTGCTAATATATGACCTCAGTGTTTTTAAAGAAAAACCAGAGTTGAAAACAAGGCAAACCCCACCGTAACAGGACGAAGAAGAAAAGAAAAACCACAAAGTAATAACAGGAAAACAGTTTTTTACTCCCTCTCACTCCCTTCCTCCTCGCTCTCCCTCCTCATAAACACTCTCTAACACACACACACACACACACACACTCTCACCTGGACGTTGTCCTCTGTGACCTCTATCTCTGCTGTGTAGATGTAGTCAACCAGTTTTCTCAGCGTCTGTCCGTCCACCTCTCTGATCTCCACCTGATGGGCCTTGCTCTCGCTCATATCCCCTACAAACACACACAAACACAGTGAAGCACACACCAGCAGACACACATAAAGATATGACGCCAAGCAAACGACAGTGTGTGTGTGTGTACCTGTGAACATGGCACAGAAGTAGGGGCTACAAGACGCCAGGACCACCCTGTGAGCTGGCACTTCGACGCTGCCCGCCACCAGCTGGACGTCACACAGCATCTTTTTACTGAAGTATGAGGTGTAACAGAGAGAGAAAGGTGATCATTTATATCTTATTTATTCAAGTGTGATAACTGCTAAATATGCATAGAAGAGCCAGGAAAGGGAACGTCTTTAAAGCCAAGAACGGACAGGACCGCTGCCAGCAAAGGAACCACTTAAGGTGTTAATCTCCAAGGTTTTACTTTTAAAATCCTAAGGGATATATGGATTGGATGCAGTTGGTGTACCAAGTATAAATATCCCTGTCAGACAAGAGTGGCATACTAATCATAACCTGTCTTCATCACCATTTTTTTTTTACCATCACATTAAGAGAAAACACTAACTGTAGCAAACAACGCTGCCAGCAACAAACCTCCTCAGTTCGTTCATCAGCTGGAAAGCCTTCCTCATGTGTGTCTGGTTGAAGGTGTGCATCCCTCCATTCACCGTGTCCTCCTCTGAATCCGTGGTACAGTTTGGACGTGGTGAGGCCGGTGTGGCCACCAGACTGGTAAGACATGAGAGGCAGTGTCTAGATCATTGGAGATAAACGGCGACCCAGTAGTTAGACGGATTACTTTCTGGTTCATCTCTAAGGTTATGAAAAGAGGGTGGGACAGGGACACTATACTGGATAACTGTGGTAAAATGACTCTATCTATTCTTTAAATGTACCTGCCACCGTTGTCAATGTTGTGCTGTACCACAGAAAATGTAGTTTAGTAAATATGCAGTGTGTCTCTGTATCTCCAGTTCAAACACATGAGGGGCTGTCTCTGAGCATGTCTCACTGTCTGGCAGTGCCATTTTTGAATGCTTGCATGACGGCACTGACCCATCCCCGTTTACTAATCCTCGATTCTTTACGGTAATCTGCTTTGGTTGTCATGGAACCCAGATGCTGCTGCACACTATGGACTACAGAGTCAGGATTTTGTATAGCGTAAAATATCTAGTGTGGCTTTTTCTCAAATAAATTATTAGATATGTAAATATTCATTCATTTGGCACACCAGTGAATTTGGGGCATTTTTGCTTAAAGAAATGTCTTAACAGATTATCAAAATTATTGCAAATGAGTTTTCTGTCTATGAATTGTTTCACCTCTACTTACTGTATGTCTGACATTTGCACATAAAGCATCAACTACTAAAGTACTTTCTCAAAGAGCTAATAAACAAAAAGAGGTGTGACGGTGAGAGTACATGAAAGTTTGTCATGATGCACATATGCTTGGGCAATATAACAATAAAGAGAACTGTATATGATGTAATATATGTTCACTGTACATTACATAATTATCACTTTGATACCTCTAGTTGTCACCAGTCTGTGAAATGTTTCACACCAATGAGCAGAACTGATTTAAGGCAATATTTGATTTCACAGGATAAACCAAAAAATGTATATTCATATTTTATCTATTAAGAGTGTTTCAACTGAATTTCTATATAAAAATCACGATATATATTGTTGTTGGAGATGCTCTAAGCCAATATACTGCATCAACATTGGTATCTGCACGAATACTGACCTGACGAAGCAAATTGGGCTATCGGCCATGACATTACTCAGCAGCAGACTATTGTCAGTCATGGATTAATGCACATTTGGTACAATAGTGAGTATTTACAGCTAGAGTATGGCGTATGTGAGACTGAGTCAAACTAAACTACAGTGGTTGTGTTCATGGTAATGAGGAACCATGTGGCTCACTGATGTGTTTTTGGATTATGATACATGATATATAATTATGATTACAGAGAAAATATTTATTTTAATATTTAGGATACATTTATTAATGGAATTTATTTAGGATAATGCAGAATATTACCAGCATTATCATTTAAGCCCCCCTAAGACAGGTACACAAAGAAAAGAAGGAATGTAATAAATGTAACTTTTAACCAGTGGTCACCTGGAAATAAAAGTGACCTCAGCCATTAGTGATCTAACGGGACATTTGCTTGTTGTGGTGTGTTTAACAGTGTCACTGAGACAACGGATGACTGTACAGTACAGTATGTTACCTGGACTGTCACAATGAGCCTCTTCTGTCCGCACACTACTCCACTAACAGTCTGAAGAAATAATGATGCAGCACTTACAACGAGGCACCGGATAACACACAACATTTTAATTAACCAGTGTTCGTCCATGAGTCTCAGCGTTTACACAAAGCTCCTCTCTTTGTGTCCAAATATCAGAAAGAGCTCAACAGAAAAATGATATTTGTTTTGAGTTTTCTGAGCGTCAAGTTAGCAGACTGGCTAGCTCTTAGCATTGCTACTCATTTAACTTCACTGCTATCATAAGCTTGTGACAGCTACCGCTAGCTGCCATAAATCACTGCGTGGTGGGGAAACCACCTCTGAGAGCCGGTCTGCCCTCAGCTCACTGTCTGTACGCAACCACTGGACCACAGTTCCCAGATGTCTACATGTTAACTTGAGACTTTGGTTAGCAACTCAACAGCATCAGCTGGCAGCCAGCGATGCTAACTTATCGAGGCTAACTGATCAACAAGGCTAGCTTCAGTCCTTGTGCTAGCAGAAAGCTCTCGGGGACGGTCTGTGTTGGACTTATGGCCGGTGGATCATGTGGGGTAAAATGTTATCCAACAGATGCAGAAGCAGCGTGAATCACAGCTTTACTAAATAATCCCCAGCGCTCAGACCAACTCACCCCAACGACACACCGTCCATCCTCCCGGAGTCAGACACCACAGCAGGCATGAGCTCCGTGCAGCCGAGCGCAGATCGTGTCTGGACGGGATGCACCGCTCCGGGGTTTGAACTAATGTACCGACACATGTGGTTTATGTGACTGTAGATATTTATTGGAATGACATGTCTGCTACAGGTTTAAAAAACGTATTGAAAATGAGTTCCCCGACTCCAAGAGACAGGCGACAACAACACATTTAAAATGTTAAATAATAAACCATATAGGAATTACAGTATAAAAACAAATAAATGACTCCTACACATAAAAATCATTCACTCATTCACAATATCTTAAATTCCTGTTTATAAGGGACACTGTTATTCACTTTTTATTCAGTTCTTTAACCCAGGGACCATGGAAACATACGATATACATTTTCCTAAAATGTGCATATTTTCCTTTTATTGTAAACCTGTTTTATATAAAACATGGCAGCGACTAATGGTTATTTTAAGAATCAATTTCAATCAATCAATTATTTAATGAAACCTCCTGAATTCCTACAGCCAAAGATGATGCCTTCAAATGTCTGTTTTTGTGTGACCAACAGCCCAAAACCCAAAGATATTCAGGTTACAGTGATTTAACACAGAAAAACCTCACAGTAAAGATACAATATTTTGTATTATTGTTTGGAGAAATTACTTAATTGTTAAAGTTGATCATCAAAGTAATTGTTGATTAATTTTCATTCATGTCAACAGACAGTTCATTGTTTCACAAACATGACTTTCAACCACTTGATGTGAGAAGTGGATCTAGGATTTTATCATGAGGACAGGCTAACAGGGAGATCAATACAACCGCGCTGTAAACATTCATAGACCAGGCAAAGTTCTCGGGTTTTATACTGAAAATACTTGTTAAATGATGTGGTTCTGTTTTGTTGTTCAAGCACTGCTGAGATTTTAAGACCCAGCTTCAAAAGTTCATCAGACCAAGAACAAAGCAGCAGGAGACAAAGTGGGGTCTAAATTTGGATACATCTTGGATAATTTGGCCTTTTTGTTACATTAACACAATGTACAAGCATTGACAGTGTATAGAGTATGTTGTTTTCATGCCTTTATATGTGAAGTTTAACATAAATCAGACAATATAAGTCTGGGAGTGTGATGACATGCTGCACAGAAATCCTTAATTTTATTTTTTAGAAGTCATAACACCCACAACTTATGTAATAATATGTACTCAAGTCAAAGAGTAAAGTTAGTTTATACAAGTTATTTGCAAAAGCCTCCGTTTCCTAACAGAGAGATTCAGAGAAGAGCCTGGACTGTTTTCGTACCCAGAAATAGGGTCAGAGTGAGAACTCATGTTTCCTCCCCTCTCTGCCAGTGTTCTCCACACAGTCATATAAACGCAACCATAAAATGTATATCCCTTAAAACATGGTGTATTATGACTATATTCAGACCTTTATTTTATTCATGGTCTGCAGTTCGACATCCCAACAACGCCAGAAAAGATATGACCTGAGATTTAGAAAGGGGACACATATTTGATGAGTCAAAGTGAAGTATTATATTACAACCGACTGGTTTCATTTGTGTTTATGAAGGTAAACAAGTTTCCTGTCGTTTGTTATTAAGGTGAACCTTAAAATGTAAACTGAAACCAGTTTACGAAATGCAGCTGCATAATCTGTAATCTTACAAACATCTATTGTATACCTTAAAATAAATACCTTAATAAATTAAAAACCTAATACACTGCCATCTGCATCCACATGAACAGAATAGTAGTTGTTTGCTTATTTGTTTATTGTAATAAAAGATTTCCATATAAATTGTTCTCCGATCAATTAAGTGCAAGCAGAGGACCAGGTCAGCTAAAAACGCACTGCCTTTACACAATCAGCTTCTTCTACCAAGCAAATCTTTCCCGGTATAAAATGGCCGATGAACTGGAAATACAGGAATTTACAGGCAATACTCCCTCCTGGTGGTAGCTTCACGAACTGGATTTATATGGTTATAACATGCATTTTAAAAGAAAAGAGGGTAGATTGTAACACACACACACACCATCTGAATTAAGACTGCGAGATTAGATAGATTTTCAAAACATTAAAAACTTTAATAAAAGCAGAATAAACATAGGGGTGAACTGAACACATGTATTTCAAACGGTTTTAATCTAAACAAAAGCTTGTAATGGGACGGGAAAGGTGGAAAAAACGTTAATTTACAACTGACAAACAGTCCGTGACATTTCTCCCCCCCAAAAAATACTTTGTCACGTGTGTTTTAAGATCAATAAACTCAAGCAATCGAGTCCCATGCTGCCCGACACTGCCACCAACTTTACTTAAAACCCTGAGTTCATGATGCAAAAATAACAGACACATCTGGCTGGTTTGCAAGACAAACAAACTCAATTGAGTTGAGAAGCAGTGACCGACATTGATTACGGCTTTACAAATGGTTCAAAGAAAGTCTTTCCCCAACATAACAAAAGTACAATTCAATAATTCACCATTCTTAGTAGTAAAGTACATAATGTGTGGAGTAAGAGGACAGATGGGGTCCGGGTGGGGGGAGCCAGGATCCAGAGGACAGTCTCATTCATTCTTAGTGGGTGATGGGCACTGCTCCCTTGAACTGACCCCTCACCCCAACTGGGCTTGTGTTGTGTGTGTGTTGTGTGTGTTTGTGTGTGTGTGTAAATTCAAGTTCGTTGTAATCCGAATTTTCCCCATGAACATCTCAAAACCTGTAGGGAGCGACTAATAGCCACCGCTGAATCCGCCACCCCTGCCGTAGCCACCACCGCCGCCGCCTCCTCCTCCTCCTCCTCCTCCTCTGTTGTAAGGAGCCCCGCTCCTGTAGGAATAGTTGCCCCCCTTCACTGCACCATAATTTGAGTGCTGCTCTCCGTAGCCGTCCCCAAAGTCACCATTACTGTACCCACCCCCCATCTGGCTGTCGTACTCGTCGTATCCCCCACCGTACCCCCCGTAGCCTCCTCCTCCGCCGCCGCCACCACCACCGTTGTAACCCCCGCCATAGCCGTAGCTGCCTCCGTAATTGCCGCCGTAGCCTCCTCCGTAGCTGCCACCTCCTCTTCCGCCGCCATAGTTGTTCATCCCTCTTCCTCGACCTCTTCCTCCCCGGCCACCGGTGGACATCTCCTGCTTGGTCATTGCTTTCTTCACCTCCACCTTGTTTCCGTTGATGGTGTGGTATTTGGTCAGCACCGCTTTTGTGGCGGAGTCGGTGTCCTCGAAGAAGACAAAGCCGAAGCCTCTCTTTCTGCCCGTCTGCTTGTCAGAGATGATCTCGGCCTTCTCCACCACGCCGAACTGGGAGAAGTACTCGGTCAGGTTGTCCGCCTCGATGTGGTCTTTCACACCGCCGACGAAGATTTTCTTTACATTGGAGAGGATTTCCGGGTTGTTAGCATCCTCCCGTGCTATGGCTCTCTTCAGCTCCACGTCGTGGCCTTCGACGACATGTGGGTTAGCCGCCATTGCTGCGTCGGCCTCCTCCGGCGTTGAGTAGGTGATAAAGCCGAAACAGCGGGACCGTCCGAGATGAGGGTTCATGACCACAACGCAGTCGTCGAGCGTCCCATACTGTTCGAAATACTTGCGGACGCCGTCGGATGTGGTCTCCACATTCAGTCCTCCAACAAAAAGCTTGGTCAGTTTAGTCGACATGATCGAATTTGTTCCGAGGACGGTATGCTGAGACCGTCCTTCTTCTTCAATGAACAACGTCAGGGCGGGCCGTTTGACTCACTTGCTTTCGTAGGACGTATTTATCGCTGATTGGTCGTCTTGAAAAAATCCTCACTCGCATTGGCTGGCGGGCGGTCACGTTGATGCTGCCTTCAAGTGGTGTCGAAAATCTTAAATTCAATTTCTGAGGAGAAAGGGAAGCGTGGATTTCAACCTTTGTGATCGTTGGTTTTGCTCTAGTACAGTACAAAGCACATTAATAAAGCTATACCCCGATTGATTCACTTCAGCTCATGCCGTTGGTACTTCGGTACAACCGCTGAATACACCTGCACCGTATAGATCACATCTATTTAAATATAACAACCTGCAGGCTTTCAATTATGTAAAGTCCTTATGTTCTTTTAATACACCAGAAATCGGCATCTGTCTGGATTAGGACTCTGAACACAACCACATGCCGCTTTTTAGACTCGGACTTGAAGTAGCCCTTGAAACATTAACTTATTTAAAATTCAGAAAACCAATCAGAATTTCTGATATATGCAGGTTGTGTGTGTTGCCTACCAATTTTCACATTTCTTAAACATTTAACATAAATTCCTCTAGCTATTTATTTATGGTTTCAGACTGGGGGGGAGATCACACTCATCTTGAACCCATAGCAAACATATAAAATGCATCAACAACACAATGAGCCAACAACAAATTATTCATACATTTCTATGAACAATCGTGACCCAGTTTTTTTTTTTGTTCCTTACACATTTTAACTCTTGGTACTGCTGTATGTGTTTGATGTGGCTGTGGTCATAACAGCCATCTCCTCAAATCTTGTGTTCAGTGTGAGTTGATAAGACTGACTAATGCTTGACATCTCAGATTTGTACTTCTGACTAATGAAAAGCAGTTATTTTACTGTGTCAACTACATTTAAATTATATTGCTGTGAGAAGCCAAGTTAATCCTGTTTATAGAGCTGAATATCACAAAATCTGCCTCAAGAAGCTTCACAGTCTGTACAACATACCCCCTCTATCCTTAGACCTGTACTTCACATAAGGAAAATCTCCCCCAAAAACCAGTTTAACAGGGAAAACATGGAAGAGGGAAGAGGAGGATCCTTCTTTCAGGATAGAGGGGCAAAATGTTCACAGTAGCAAAAATATAGGAAGCACTAACATACTGAGCCAACTACAAATTAGTTATTTTTGATGAGCAGCAGTGACCCACTTAGGGGATTTTTACCTCTGTACAAAAATGGCACACATCTCAATGGTCTAAGTTAGCTGAAGTCAGTCTTTTCACAGTAAATGAAACTTATCACATGCATGCTCATGTTTTCAGCCAGTATCAGCTGTATTAGCTTCAGATGGCCATTTCCCTGTCACCAGGAACACTGCAGTATTGGTTTTTGGGAAACCATCCAATTGTTAAACTGGGTCATCAAGTTATTTGTTTTACATCTAGCAATAGAGAAACAGCACTTTAAAGTGTCTCATGAATATAAACAATGCAGGATATAGGTTTTTGGTGGTGCTGTATGTAAACAACCTTTGTTTGTTTACATGAAACCTCCAAGCCTATGCCAGCAAAAAGAATTTAAAGCCTTGAATTTGACACATTAAAGTACTCCAAAGACCTGAAAATGTAATCAGATCAGAATGATCTTCGTTCTCACCACCTCTGCAAACCGTACGTCTGAAATGATCAGTGTGACCATCAGTCCACAACCTTATATTTGACATCAGGTGACAGGTGTGACCTGGGGAAACATGCAACCAAACTATCCTCGATGTAAAGAAGTAACATAACAAGTCTGTTGGTGTATAAAAATATATATATTTATTGTATATTCATAAAAAGCACGACCAACATAACAGATGTTTCCTTTTCCTACGGGATGATCAGAAAGCACCATTATCCTATAAGGGTAAGAGAACAAAAGTCATATATACACTCCCATCGCCATGTCTAGCATCACTTCAACACACACACACACACTTGTGTCACACTGGGTCTCCTCACTTGTCACAGTACATTAGACAGGGTTAAGTTATAGAAATGCCCAATTGCAGTGGCTATGTCCTTAAACTCAAAGGCACCACTGCTACATCTGGAAACACGTTAATACTGTCAGATGTATTGTTTGCTCATCAATCAAGAGTTTGTTAATCTCTCATGGTTACTCCAGCTCATTAGACTTCTTCAAGCATTGGCCCTTTATGTTTACCAATAAAACCCCACACTGACCTAATTAAACACAGATCTCATTAACAATAATGTATTTTCTATTTAGGTATTGATCGGCATTTCTGAAAGCAGACTTGAAGACCTAAACAGTCAAATTGACAAAAAGGTCTGGGTCTTTATTCACACCCAGAGCCTGTTTAATTCAAATTTCAGGCACATGTTCAGGACATGTATTCACAGTCTGTTCATTTTGCAGCTTTCCCCCCTATTAGCAATTCATAATTTACAGGCACTGCACATTAAGCTTGGGGGGGGGTCCAAATGCAGATACTGAACTGCATTCACTTCTTGGTTACTTACTGCATAGAGCCTGTCGGCCAACAGACCTTCAGAAAACAGTCAAAATTCAATAGGATAACAGTTTGCCATTTTCCATCTCGTTTCATGGTAAAAGTAACAGACGGAATATTAAGGCAGAGTTCATCAATGTACAAAGAAATTTCCTCCCAAAGGTCACACACTGGAGGTCTCGGAAGGTGACCTGCAGTTTAAGTAGGAATTGAATAAGCAACGTGCACATCATGCTTCTACTTCCTGTTTAAGTATGCATGACAGTAGAAGCATGTGACTTCCCACCATTGCTCCTCGTCTTGAAAGTCTGCAGACAAATGCTCATCAATACAATTGCACAATAATTCCCCAAGCTCTGTTATATTGAATTTTTGGGCCACAGGTAGAATGATAAACATCCATAATTATCACTCAGACTGAAGTGGCACAATGGCTACACCAAGCAAGTTTACCTCAGGTAATGCTGAATTGGGGAAATGGAACCATATTGTATGCCAAGCTTATACACTACCTTTATGGAATTTATAAAATCAAAAAGGAAAACCTGTACACTATTAAAAACACAAGACAAACATTATAATTCAAATATTTATTGTACTTTGAAAACCACAGTGCCCAAAGTGCAAACTATTCTCCCAGGTCATCACCAGTACTTCAGTCGGTGAATTTAAATAAATCTGAGAGGTCACAAGATGATGTAAATAGATTTTTAATCACATTTTTCATTAACCCAACAATCACTCATGTCGACACAAAGACCCTAACCTGTATGAGAGGTGACACGGACAAGGTTTCATTTTAAGCTGCCACGGGGCAAAGACTGGAAGCCACTATCCTGGTTCAGTCCGATATCACAGGTCCAGTGCTGGTCACTGGTAAAAGAGCACTTGTGTTTGCACTGGGGCACTGTGTTATCAAAAGTCTCCTGAATTTTAAAACCCCAAAAAAAAGGATTAAAACCAATTAAGACTCTTTAAAATGCATTTAGACCACACTGGGGAATCCTTTGTGAAAAGTGACTTCACCTGAGGGGGAGAAGCCACAACCACTCTCCGGTCCCCCCGTTGGCGTGGAGAGACACACCCCATCGTGTTCGGGGTGATGTTACCCAGGTTACCGTAGCAACCTGGAGGAGATGGGAGAGAAACAGAGTGAGAAACTGGGCAGAACAAGGTTTTCTGGATGAGACACCAATTTACTTGTTCCATTATTTCACTTTTTAAATGGTGGAACAAAATTTGGGCCCCCTCCACCCACTTAAAGTAAAGCCAAATTAAGTAAACCACCTTTGTTTGTATTTTAAGATTAGCTATATAAAGACGCATTGAGCTATGATTAAAGTGTCAGTTAAGTTGTTTAAGATTAAATAATGGCACACTTGTGCACCATCTCATTAAGATATTCCATACATGGTTGACCAACACATAGTGAAGACAGGTTGATTTACATACCTAGTTTGCTGGATGTGGATATCCTAAAGAGATATTTCAGACTCCTATCACAATCGACCCCAGGTAATCAACAGGGTCCTGATGTAGCCTAAAACAAACTGCTAAGGCTATTTTGGCTGGGATAGCCTACTGGAATACGAGTAAGAACACCTAAATGTAGGAATAATCAAAGATAAATATCAGAGCCCCCCATGTCCACATATTGATATGTATTCAAATATGTAAAAAGAAAAATGTATAAGTATAATAGAAAGTAATATTAGCAAAAATATAAATATATTCTAAAAAAAAAAAGGAAAAAGCACATAACTTTAAAAACAAGGTCAAACCCTACAAAGCCTACATGCATTGGCTGTGGGTAGACTACAATCATTCTGTGACAATTTCACCCACCTGAGTTTAAGGGAATAAACTGGGAAAGATGCCATGTAACTAAAGATGACAAGATGGTGTCACTTATAAAACCTGTGGATGAACTTGAGGAAGCCTGGTTAAATAAGTAAAATAACTAAGCTAAGTGGTATAACGTTTTATTTAAAATGAACATACATAAGCATACCAAGGTGTTTTAACAGTAGGTTTTGTTCTCCAGACATGAAAAGTATACAATATACATTAGATATTGCTACAGGTAATGAAAAATGAACAATATTTAGAAACTATTACTATGCGTGAGGAGAGTTTGAGTACAATGTTGGGAAGGAAACAAGGAAACTGGATCCTGCAGTATCACGTTCCGCCTTTGCTGAATGAGCCAAGTAAATAATTATACAAAATTGATGTTATCAGACAGCTATGAAATCCAAAACCACAAAACATGCTTTCTCATCCTCATACATTGAAATTACACTAAATTTACTCCAGAAAACAAAATCTAATTGCTTAAAAATGCAAATATTAAGATAAATCAGAACTTGTCAGCAAAACAATCCTACATCGAAATTGAACCGAGTGAACGCAAATAAAAAATAATACTCTAAACGACAACTACACGCCGTCGGCGTGGATACATAATAAAAAAAGGGATCACTGTGTTTTATTCTTCATTTTTGTGTGTCCTAGTTGAACGGCAACAACCGCTGCTCGTTATTATCAGGTTTTCTGGGAAGTGACCTTCCTACCTGTTTGGGTTTTTGAGGTCTTCATTATGATTAGGGGGATCTCTGTGTCCGTATCTCTGCCGTAGTTGGGTTTCACGGCAGACGCCCCGTTACTGAATTTGAGTTGAGCGTCCAAATCCCGGCTGGAGGTAAATTATGGCTGGGGGGTGGGGTGGTCGATTCTCCATTGTGCAGTCTCATTTAGTAGCCGCCGCCGTAGCCCCCCCTCGGGTAGCCGCCGCCACCGCCGCCGCCGCCTCCTCCTCTGGTGTAGGGCGCTGCGCTCCTCTGTCCGCCGAAGGGTGGTCCTTTCATGGGGCCGTAACCTGAAGAATGCTGGCCATAGCCGCTGCCAAACTCATTGTAGCCGTTTCCACCGCCATAGCCGCTTCCCTGGTCTCCATAGCCACCCCCATATGGACCGCCGCCGTAACCTCCGTAGCCGCCACAGTTGTAGCCTCCGCCATTTCCGTAGTTGTAGTTTCCGCCGTAGTCCCTGCTGCCGTAGCCATTTTGATTTCCCCTCATGCCTCTACCTGGTCTGCCTCTCGGCGGCATGCCGCTCCTGTTGGCCGCCTGCATCTCCTGCTTGGTCAGGGCTTTCTTCACTTCAACTTTGTGTCCATTGACGGTGTGGAACTTCACTACGACCGCCTTGTCGGCTGCGTCGTGATCGGTGAAGTAAACAAAGCCGAATCCCCTCTTCTTTCCGGTCTCCTTCTCGGAGATGACTTCGGCCTTCTCGATTTGACCGTACTGAGAAAAGTAATCGGTGAGATGGTCCTCTTCGATGTCGTCTTTCAGGCCTCCGACGAATATTTTCTTCACCTTTGCGAGGGCCTCTGGTTTGTTGGCGTCTTCTCTCGCCACAGCCCGCTTCACCTCGACCGCGTTGCCGTCGACGGTGTGCGGCCTAGCCGCCATTGCTGCGTCGGCCTCCTCTGGTGTGGAGTAGGTTACAAAGCCGAAACAGCGGGACCGCTGCAGCTGCTTGTTCACGACGACAACGCAGTCGGTGAGCGTACCGTACTGCTCGAAATGCTTGCGCAGGCCATCGTCGTCGGTGTCCACATTTAACCCACCGACAAAAAGTTTACAAAGCTGGTCAGACATTTTTGAAAAATAGCGAGCTGAGTTGAACGACTTGCACAGTGCGCAGATCTCAAGATGGTGGAGGGGGACGAACGCAGCTGTATTTATACCGGACGGCCTGTGACGACAGACGAGCTTCAAAAACAGGAACACCTCTTCCGGTCCACTGCTCTTCTGTCGCACAAAAGACAATCGATATTCTGCTTAAAAACTATGCTTAAAACGTAGAAACGACATTTAAAACACAACAGTTTACGTTACTAAATATCTATAAATTATATATTATATAATGTATATATACAAATAAGGTTTTCAGTGATGATCCGCAGTATCGTCGGGGCAGGGCCATTTTGTTGCCACATGGTATCAAAAGGCATCGATTAAATACAGTTCTGATATTTATACGCAAGGCGAAAAATAAAAGCTACATTTTTACCAGTATCATAATACTCTACACTCTCATGTTACTGTATTCTGATTTGTCCTGAATTGAAGCTCACAAGCTATAAGACCGAGTTAACAAGCTTCTGAATGGAGCCACAATGGGTACGCGGGTTTTAACCAAAACCACATTCTCAACCAGAAATGAAATGTGGCATACTGTGTGAATAAAGTTTAAAAGTTGGGCCTAAGGATTGTATGAAAGGTATTGCGACTTGGGTGTTGATATCAGGAGTTTTGACAGAAAAATAACCTGCATCTAAATGATCAGCCACAACAGCATGGTTTGTGTGCAGGAAGACTATAGGGGCCATTAGTGGACTGGGTTAAATGTTTCAATTGAAGTAGATTCAAAGTTTATAGCAGTCAGTGAAAGGTGAAACAAACTCTGGTGTTTGAAATGAAGCATATTCTCATTCATTTAAACAATTGAGTAGTCAAGCGATAAGACGGTTATCTTTTTAAATGTTGATAATCATTGAATCATTTTTGGCTTTTTTGGCTAAATTCTAATCTGAGGATTACCTAAATAATCCACTTTTAAAGTTGAATATTTTGGGGTTTTGTGCTGTTGGGTAAATTAATAATATTAGGATAATAATAGGTTAAGAAAACTAGCAATGTGTATTTTTCACTATTATAGACTTAATCAATCGTTGAATTGAACAAATGATTACAGAATAATTAAGAATAAAAATAGTAGCTGTAATAGTAGCCCCCCAAAAACCTCCACTTTCATGTAAGAGCACACACAGCAGCCTTGCTGGGGGCCCGTTCATTGTCTTTGGAGTGAAACTTAATTGGCACCTTGATCAGAAAATTAAGATTTAGTTTTATAGATTTTGTCTTTTGGAAAGACCAATGAAAGACCACAAGGCTAAATGTACCGCCAAATTTGCCTAGTTTTTATCTCAGTCACGTATTTCCATGAAATCCACTTTACAGATCAGTCATGTACAGTACAGTACATTAACATCTGTAAGCATGTTTTTCACTGCTAGACCAAAAAATGCCTACACTGAATAATGCCCCCTCAGACCATGGAGATGTAGTTTCAGGTGAAAGACACGACACTTGGTTGCATTTCCATGTCAACAGAATTGAAATGAATCGTTTGACCAAGTAACACCTACCAGAGCTTATGGTAATGCTGCTTTTAGAGCCCACAGAGCAAGGTAGACATTGCAAATAAAGAAACACTGAAATCAAAGTACACCGAAATCTTTATGAGACATATTGCTCATGAAACAATCCCTTGTTATCTATTCTACCAACACAAACACACAGGACAATCTGTGTCTTTACACATACAGCTCTAAATCATTTATGGACACAAATGAGGCAACTTTTGGTTTGTCAATAAACAGCAAATGGAAGAAAAGACTGCCAGATCATGTAGAACATAAAACTTAAAGTCGTCACAATTTACGGTTTATTTGTGCATTAGTTGTCATTGAAGTCAACTTTCCAGATTTGTGTCCATCTTGTTCTGATCACAGTCCATCCATCATCTACAGTAGGTTATCAAAGTCCTAGATGGGGATGAGTCTTGTTTTCAGGTAACCTAAAGTAATTCCTTCTGAGTTTGCAAAAAAAAGCAGGACGGTTCAACTTACAGCCTAGTTTAGGTTTTGATCCTGCCTTTTAATGCATTTTTCAAATGAAGGTGGGCATGTGCATGGAGCTATGTGTAATGTTGAAGCAGTTGGTATACCTTTACAGCGTTAGTGCTGTAAGCAGCTTTAACATACGCAGATACAAGACTATAAAAAATATCAGCACAGTCCTTTTTATTGTCTTGTTCATTGTTGGAGAAATCATTATGAAATTAAAACTATTTGGGCAATGCTAAACAAACTAAAATCACCCATTATATAGTTCACTGAAATGTACTCTTAGCTGAAGAAGAAAAAAGTGAGAAATTGGTTTAAGAGAATTGAAAATGGCAAATCTCACGCACAAAAAAGGAAGACAATGTGTTTAATAATAAAAAAAAAACCAAAACATCAAGAGATGGTTGTCTTGTCTGAATATTGTGTAAATTTCATTATGGTAGTAAATAGACCATAATTAATATTACCACACTAACTTCTTCAGAAATGAGAAGTTGTACTGAACAACCAGTTAACTTGAGGATACTGTGGGCTATAGCAGGTTAAAACAGCCAAGGAAAGACCTGTTCAGTTCACACAGCAATCTTGGTAGAAGATTAATCTTCGTTGTCATCACTTGTCCCAAAACCCTTGACTTTATACATGAGGATGATCAATTCCCATCTAATATTTACATTTGAAAAGGAGCCTACGGTGGCACCAAATCAGGCTCCAGTTTCACAGTCAAGGGGGGGATGAAATGCAAAAGAGTATAGGCAGTTAAAGGAGACATTTAACATATATCCCCCCAAAAAACATGGCTAGAAGACACAGGATGTCAACAGCATGCATCACAGAATGAGATGCTACCACGTGATCAGAAAGCCAGCCATGTTTGTTTTTGAAAAAATGCCCAAAATCTCTCAAATGTGTTAATCTGGTTAATAGAGTTGAGTTAACACAGTCCTGTCACATGTTATATAACAAAGGAACACCACTAGTGAAAGGAGAAAGTCAAAGTAACCTCAACAAGTTTTTATTTGTTGTAGTAAAATCAAATATCTACCTAGCAGTGTTTCACCCCCTCAGTCCTTTTCTGTAGTCTCTAATGTTCAGAGTGAGGGCCTTTAAAATAATGACAACGCTGATAGTCCATGTGCTTGAATGGATCAGATCAAACAACTTCTTATTATCTAGCCACATCTAAAACAGTCTGAAAGGAGGGGAGTCCAGTGTCTGTGTGATAAAACCAGAGGGGGTTGGTGGAACTGGAAAACTTGAGCCGATCATGTATTGGGGGGGGTTGTTGTGGAAAAAGTTGGGTGTGTCTGATGGGGGGGGGGAGAAGGGCACTGGATCACAGCTCCACAGGTGGCTCTCTGAGTAGGCCAGGTCAGAGGTGATGAATGACGGGCCTTATTTGATCATGTTGATACTCAGGTTAATCTGAGTGATCACATGATGTAGACTTTCTCAGCCTGAGAGAAGTTGAAGACTTCTTTGGTTCTAGGACACACCACTTTGTCATCTTGGCGGATGGACAGAAGAGACTGGAAGAGATAATAAGCAGAGGAAAGTAAATCAGAAAAATAAGCATTATTGTTTTTCTTGTTTCCATATTGCATATTAAAGTGCTTTCACAAATCGCTTTAGCTCATAGTCTGAGTACTCTTTGCTGGAGTTAATATTGCTGTGTACTCACGTTGTAGCCGTAGACGTATCCATTAGGAAGCATCATTGGAGGGTTGTTTTCATTCATAACCTCCCCAGAGATCTTACAGACTAGTCTGGAGTTGGCGCAGTGGGCCATGGGTAGCGGCTGGGCTAACTTGTTGAGGGATTTACTGCACACTGGGCAGTCTGGGTTCTTAGAGGTACCGTCCTCCTTGTAGCACTGACTGGAATGGGCATGGAGGTTAAGGACCAAAATGTATGTCTCTGAAATGATTTGGTTATTATGAGTCTCTCATCAGATAGCATCCATGGAAAGGATAATCCACATGCTTAAAGCTTATTCGGTAGTATAACCAATTCAATTAGATAGTAAGAGCGAAGAGAAGAAAGAGGAGAAAAAGTTACATGTGAGCAACACAACATTTGAAAGACCTAAACTCATTGTAGCCACATACAAATCACACTGAGAGACAGGAACACTCCCTTCATTGTGTTTTTACTGTAAATCTTATGTACATTTTCACAATTGTCTTTTGCAATGTGATATAATATGTCAATGAAAATAAATTAACAACAAAAACGGTTTATTTGCATCTTTAAAATGCTTTAGAGATGGACTCTAAACTGCAGAAGCAACTTATTATTGGGAATAAGGTATGGTAGGATACGGTGTCTTGATGGCAGACAGACCAGCCTGTAGGGTGATAGTGAAGACAGAGTTGTTTCCTAGCTGGTGCAGCCTGTAGTTGTCATATCGGAATTGCTGGATCAGCATCTTCCAGCGGGCTGGATCCAAAAGATCCTGACAGACAGAAGAGAAAGTTTAACACCAGAAGCCATTTCCAGACAGACCTCAGACTCAGTCATTTCTAATTTTGAGAATGCACATAGAGCGGAGGTGCAGACCAGTGTCACTCAACCCTTGTCCAACATGCTATTTTCATTCCGACACAAACTATGTTTACTCCCCTAACATTTTTGACCACACTGTGTTCGCTGAGGCGGCTTAAACCGCAATACATACCAGCACTGTTAGATACTGTTGTGCCACACACACCAGACATGCCATACAAACAGTAGCCAAGTAATAATATTGTAGCCAGGATGTTCCAATCCCAGGAGCAAATTGTGACACACATTGAGGCCTGCCAGTGTGTGTTGCCCTTAAGAGGTTGTTTCACTAAACCTCTGGAAATAGCAGCATCAGGGTAGTGTATGATTTTGGGCTCTTAAATTAAACAAGATTAGTATACCAAGGCTTTGGGTTGTTTGTTTCTTTTGAGCAAACTGTGTTTAACAGCTCTCTGGTTACTAAACACAGCTGAGTCTGTAGGGAGAATGTTTTCACTAGTAATGGCTCGTTCACATAGGCCACCTGAGCAGC